ATGTCTGTGGATGGAGCACAGTGAATTTGAGCAGCTGTGCGCCCCTGGGTAACCTCCACCAGGTCAAGTTCGAGGAGCCTGCAGCCCCCAGAGGCTCCCTCGTGGCTCCTCCTGACGGACACGCCTCCCGTGGGAACCTCGTCCAGCTGTGCTTGCTTTTGTGGAGCCTGGGCCGGACTTCGTGCCAGTGGGTGGCACGGCGCACCCCCCTTCCATCTGGCTCCTCCCAGCAGCGCAGCGCCAGGGAGGCTCCCCTGCGCGGCCACACACGGCTCTGGTCCTTCCTCTGTCGCGAACATCCAGTGTCACACTGCAGCTGCCCCTTCAACCACAGGCGGACACTCGGTGTGGGGCTACGGTCAACAGTGCTGGTGTGAACATTCTTGCCAAGCCTCTGGTGGACATGCACGCTCCTTTCTATTGGCCCCATTTTCAGGGATGAGACTTCTGGGTCACAGTGCCTGCAAAGGTTTAGCTGCAGCTACCGCCAACCCTTTCCCAGAGAGGACGCACCGGCTCGTGCCCCTGCCAGCGGTGCGTGGGGATGCCGCGCCTTTCCGATGAAGCTTTTTCATTCTCAAGGGCAGACAGCGCCTTCACCCCTGGAGGAAGTGCAATGGGACTCAGGTCACATGCACCGTCGTTTTCTTCCATCCTGGGGATCTGGCTGGACCAAAACTGTAAGGCATTTTCAACTGACGTATATCTATCATTCAAGAAAGGAATTATTTTAGAAAAAATAAACAGACAAATGAGGGCACATGAGGACAGTCCCAAGTCCACAGGCGGTGACCCTCGACTGCCCGCTGGGAGCTGGAGGACACCAGGACGTGTCCAGGGCTGGCTGTGGGACCCGCCGGCCGTCCTCCCCGCTCCGGGCGCACAGAGACAGGCGGGCGCAGTGAGCTCCGCACTGGCCTGTAGCAGCGGCCTGCGTGCCCCGAGCTGGTGGGGCCAGTGGCCCGGAAAGGAAGCCCACATTCTCCTGTCCCCAGACCCCCAGGAGTACAAAGCAGACGGACAAGATGGCTGAGCTCGCCCCCCGCCCCCGTTCTCTCTGTGTGGTGGACCGGCCACACTTCTGCGGACTGTGCTCCTTCGCCTTGGGCCTCCCTGCTACACATCTGACCCAAACTTCTCAAATCGAGACAGAGTGGACATCTTCACATCCTTAGACCAGGATCCTCAGGACTTGGCAGCCGCTCCACCAGGGGAGGGACAGCTCTCCGCCCGTCGTGAGCCCAGGCCCCCGGCCTCGGGAACAGAGTCCCATTCAGTGTGAACTCAACACTTGGGGTTTTCCCAGTATCGAAATGAGGACTCTCTGGAGATGGTTTTTACAAACATCTCAAGCACTTTTCAATGCTTTAAGATGCCCGTGTTTAGTGGGAACATTACTTACCTTAATGGTCTTAAACCGTTCGATCCCGTGACATAAATTGTTGCAACAATTATTACAATTGTAGTTGTTGCCAAAGTCCCCACTGGCCAAGCAATCACAGTACCTGTGAAGACAACAGCACCGTGTGTCAAAGGCATGATGGCAGAGTCAGACAGGAGAGCAAGAGCGTGTCGCACGGGAGCCGGCCGGCATGTGCGGTCTGCACGGCTTCTCTGTGAAAACTGGATCGACCGGCGTGGTGCTCTCCAGTGACTCACACAGACGAAGAAGAAACTAGTTCAAACCATTGGTTCCTGATATATGAGTTTGCAAAGCACAACAACTTCCTGGAAGTGTCCGTGGCTGCCCATCGGCCCAGCCCCCGCCCCCTACCACCGACCGGGGACGCAGCACTGGGCTGGGGGCACATCCGGCCGCTCCGAGCGGTCTCCCCACTGCCGTCCGGCCCGAGGCCGGGACTCATGCCTCAGCCAGACCCCGACGGGGAGTGAAGGCCAGCGGGGCCTGGAGGCCGCGCCTGGTCTCGGCTTCGTCGTGCCACACCCAGGTCACTGTGTGGGGGGCGGAGACAAGCGGCGGAGGAAGCACATGTGGATCGGGCTCCCTCCTGTCTGGGAGCCCACGCACCGGGAGCCTGTCTGGGAGCCCGGGGCCCTGGAGGCTGCAAAGGCATGGCTGGCGGCAGGAGGGCAGCGAGGACCTCCTGTGATGGGTTTTCCTGGAAGAACCATCAGTGACTATTAACTGCGTCACATGCTGTGTCTCAGAGGCCCTGGACGTCTGTGAGTCAAGGCTTCCCTCCCGTGCCCGCCTCCCGCCGCTACTCCTGGGAATGAAGGGGAGCAGCCGCTGCGGACACTAGGCGGGGCTTCCTGGAAGAGTTGAACCTGGAATCACCACGTGACCCAGCAGTTCCGCTTCCAGGGACACGACAAGGACCCCCGGAGCAGGGCCCTGGCACACCCACAGCAGCCAAAGGTCCGGCGCCCACGCCGCCATCACCAGGCAAGCGATACCCACGCGGCGCCCTGCACACGCAGTGGGGTGCTGGTCAGCCAGACAGGGACGGGCGCTGGCAGGCGCCTGACATGGGCGGGCCTTCCCGACGGGAGGCGGCCACCGTCAGCAGAAGACGCTGGACGGCCCCGCTGCCCCGAGGAGCGGGAGCAGCCAGAGGTCACTGGGGCGGCGGAGGGGGTCACGGGGGCGTGGAGTCTGTCTGGGAGGAGAAAGTGGGGACAGCTGCACGGCGCTGCGGTGGAACCAATGTCACTGAGCTGCACACTTAAAAACGGTTCAAGTGGTAAATGTGATGCTTATTTTACCACAATAAAAAAAAAGCAAGATGCAGAGACATACATATGGACTGCAACCATGTGAGTGAAAGAAAAAACACCTTAAATGTTAAAACTTCAAAAAAATAAAATAGTACCAGCACGCGCACGTATATTATATCAGGAGTGAGATGAAGAATGCAAGTGGCCTTCAAGCCCGTTCATGAGACGTGGCCCGTTAGAGTCGCTGGTTTTTAAGTCCAGCGAGTAGATGGTAACGGACACTCAATGGGAAAAACCTCCGTGCCGGCCTGAACGCTGAGGCCTTGCGAGCCAAACGGACACCCCGACTCAGAAAAACATCGTCAAAAAACTGCTCCACAATGACACATGACCTCATGGTTAGGAAAACAGTTTACAGAGAAGGAGAATCGTTCTTATCGCGTCGCCACGGTGTCAGCGCCGCGCAGGCGATAGCGCCAGGAGGGACGTGCGCGATGGGCTGGGGAACCAGGCGGCCATTCATGCTCCGCGCTGGGGCGCGGCGACTGGGCGCGCACTGGCCGGTGGGCCGGCTGGCCGGAGGCCCACACGGCGCCACACGTCCTTGTCACGTTCCTACATGGTAAGAAACGCGGGAACCGTGTTGTGCTGACAGAGAACCCTCCTGGAGGCTTCGGACCTCATCCGGCCTTGCGGCCTTGCCGTAGTGAAAGGGCGGCTAAGGGAGGGCCTGAAGAGGCGAGGGGTGAGCCGGGCCAGGACCCCGACAGACAGAAACAGCCTGCAGCCTCCTGGCCGCCGGCTCACCACGGCCGCTGAGCCAGTGGGGGCGCCAGGAGACCCTCAGTGCAGGAAGGTTCTGATAAGAACAAGCAGGGCTGATTCGGACAGCGACATCAAATCGTGCAATTATTTGCAGCAAAAGAAGACAAACACAGAGCTCATGCTGTTCATGGCATATCATATATAATAAAAAAATCTTTTATGACCTGCTTAATTACTTCAAAATACAGGAAAATATGTGACGGATTGAGAAAACCTAGTAGAGACCGAAGGGGGGCGGGGAGGAGGGCAGGGCCCCGGAGGCCTGGTGCCCTGCAGGGAAAGCGCCCTGTCCCCAGCTGCGCCCGGAGACACCTCCACTGCACCTGCACAAGGACCTGGAAGCCCCCATCCCCTGGAAGGCTCTGGCGCGCTCAGGCACATGGCGATGCTTCCAGACTGGAAGATGAAGTGAGTGTCTTTGGGACTGGACGTTTCTGGTTGTGCGGCATAACCGAACCTGCGATGCCACCAGCGGGGTCTCCGGATCGCTTATGTTGTTTTGTTTCATCCCGAAATGTTTATGGCTGTGACGTCAGGACCACTCATAGTAATGGCAGCATGTCTCACAATGCAGTGTCCCCAAGGGGCAGGGAGAACAGCCCCCCACCCGCTTCCTGCTCCACTAAACCCACTGAAGAGCATTCACGGGTGTGCCATGCTCCCACCAGGGGCCAGCGGCCAGGGGCCAGCGGCGAGGGCAGCGGCGAGGGCAGCGGCTAGCCCTGGAGCAGCTACAGTCTTCACGGCTACGCAGCCCCCAGACCCTGGCGGGGTGGCCCTTGGCCTCTCTCACTGCTGCGAACCACTCTCTGCACACTTCCAGCCTCAAGGGACACGCGCTCCGGGTGGCCACCGCGGGAGCCCCCGTCCCTCAATCGCACCGTTGGTTCCTTTGGGCTGTGTTAGGCTGCGCCCTCAGCCCCAGGAGGCAGGACCCGGGGGGTCCAGAGGCGGCCGCCGGGCTCTGTGACGCAGAGGGCCGCCCTGACTCTGTCGGTGCGAGCAGGTTGCCCCCGCAGAGCGCCTCAGCCCGCCGCGCTCGCTCAGCTGGTCACAAGCACAGACAGCCCTTGAAAATGGCGAGACAAGGTCCCAGGTAAGGGCCACAGCTGACACCTGCCAGAGAGTGTGCGTGGACCTCGCAGGGACAGCGCGCTGAAGACCACCGTCCATGCCAAGTCCCTGCCACGCCATGGCCTGCGCTGATGGCAGGGAGGGAGGAGGGAGAAACCCGCCGGTGCGAGCCTGTGTGAACCGGAGACGGAGGCCCTGAAGCCCGGAGCCTAGACAGCGGACAGCGGTGGGGGAGGGGGCCTCTCCTGCCACACAGGCGGGCGCGCACAGACAGCAGCACTGTCAGGGGCGCTGCTTAGTGCAAAAATCCTTTACAGGTCAGAAAGGTTGCCGGGCAAGCTCATGTTATAACTTAGAAGAAGCCACAAACAAACCCAAGAGAGCCTCCTAGAGCCCTGAAGTGAGAGCTGCTGCTCCCGTGCTTACCCCGCCGCAGCTGCCTTGGGCGGTCCTGCGAGAGCCGATCCCGCGGGGAAGGCAGGCCCGCTGACTGTGGATGGCGGGGCCCCGTCACCGAGCTGCGGAAGTCCAGGCAAGCATAGTCTGAGTTAGCGTGTATTTCAAAAGTTCACCCAGTCAGCCCCTCCACACAGAGAAAAACGATCCCTTTCCTTCCAGAGCTTTCCATCACAATCCTGTTACAGCCTCGCCTGGGACTTGTCCCTGGGACGACCACGCCAGCCCCGCAGACCCCAGCCCAGGCCTTGTGGACGCGAGCCGCAGGGCGGAGCCCAGCCCCAGGGAGCCGGGTGGGTGCAGGGCCACCAGGCCTGGCGATGGGACGGAGGGAGGGTCCCGCGCATGGGCCCAGCCACCAACTGGCTGGTGGCCACACACACAGCTGTCAGCTGGCTGCCCGGGACACTGTATTGGAATACATTTTGTGAAGTAAATTCAATTACAAATTTCTGTAAACAAAAAATGGCCCTTATCACTATGTCCTTAGTATAACAGAAGTGATCTTGACATTCGATGTCTCATTTGCAGCCATTTCTTTTTCATCTGGTCAAAAAATATTTCATGGTCAATTTTAACAAATTCAAAAGCAGTGTCATGACCTCGGCTTTCCCCACGCCCTCTGCTCCCTGAGCTCTCGCTCCTTTTCCTCTGTGACTCAGGGCCTGGCTCGCAGACGGCATTCCCGGGAAAGCCGGGGGAGGCGTGGCCAGCAAAGCCGCCGCTGCTCTGATTTCCTTCTTGCCGGAGCGTGAAGAAATTACAGGTGTTGGATTACAGGTGTTAGGCTTGCGAGTCTGTTTCACAGTTCACATCCTACCCTTGTCCCTTCATCCCTCCCTCCCCTGAAAACTTGAAATTCAAACTTGAAATAAGTGTTATTCAAGAAGTGTAGTCTGGGAGAACGCCATTTTACCTCACTCTCTCTCTTCTGCCCCTTTTCCAATGTGTGTTGCTTCGGCCAGGCAGGGCCTGGGGATGCGGAGGAACCACCCGAGTCCAGCTCTTCCTGCACAAACCCCCGGGGAGGCCTGGGACCTCGGCGCCAGGGCCCCCTCTCCTGGCCAAGAGCGGCTGTGCCCTTTGACTGTCCGCAGGAGGCAGGTGTCCGCAAGTCGCTCCGCCCCATGTCCCCTCCTAGCCCAAAGAGCTCTGTTCTTCTGGAGAAAAGACTTCACAGCTCAGGGCGGAGGCAATTCTTTGCATAAACGAGGTACAGCTCTTTCTGCCTTTTGCTTGTTTAGCCTCCAAGTAAAGCAGATAGAAGGAAATGTCTTCCGCGGACCATGCAGGCGGTACGTCTAGGCAATGTTTGCCTGAATCCAGGGCTCCCTGCAGCAGGGCTGGGCCACCCTGGGGGAGAAAGCAAGCGCGCACCACCCGGGCCCCTCAGATGCAGACTCTGCATCAGCCAGTCTGGGGCATCCGGGGCCTCGTTTCTCACCAGCCCCCAGGAGACGCCCAGACTGCTGGTCCGCGCTGCACACTCTGAAGAGCCAGAGAGTACACAGAACTGGGGGCTGGGCAAGGAAGCAGAGGGCTCTAGGGATGCAGCAGAGGCATTGCTAAAATAATTGCTCCAAGAGCCCTGGCTGGTGTCGCTCAGTTGGCTGGAGTCTCATCTGTAAACCAGAAGGTTGCAGGTTCGATTCCAGGTCTGGGCTCCTGTGTGGGGAAACCGAGCCATGCTTCTCTCTTACATCAGCGTTTCTCTACCTCCCTCCCTCACTCCCTCCCTTCTCCTCTCTCTCAAGTCAATAAGCATGTCCTTGGTTAAGGATAAAAAAGTAATTTAAAAGATGTCAGGGGAGTGAAAGTGGTGACAAGAACAAGCACAGGTAAGGAAAGGTGGCAAGGAAGGTGGGGAGGAGGTCGTGGCCCTACGGGGCGTTTCTAGGGCAAGACCCTAGAGGACTACGAGCAGCCTGGTGTGCGCCCCCCTGAACCGCGACAGCGAGGGAGGGGAGGTGGCGCCGTGGGGCGGCCGGGCGGGCACGAGGCTCACCGCAGACAGACTCCGCGTCCAGCGCTCACGGGGTCATGGCTGGGACTCGCCCATCTCCTGAGCTCAGAACAGTCTCCCCACCCCTGGCTACTGCAGCGTCTGAGGAATGTTTACTCGCTCACAAACGTTTAACTCTATGCAAACCCTCCGGCCTCACGGCCCCACCTGCCTGCCGGCCCTCTCCCTCCCCTCGGAGCCCCCGATGCCCAGGCAGCGGCCTCACTTCGGATGTCTGTGAGACGCCCCGAATTCGGTGCTCCACATGGAACTCAGCCCCCTACAGACGGGCCCACTCCAGGCTCTCTTGGTGGGCAGGCCACCTGGGCACTGGTTCAGGCTGCAAGTCTTGGCGTCCTTGACTCCTCCGCCTCACATCCCACCCCCAGCCCATCAGCAACACTATGGCTCCACCGCCTGCCACCGCGGGGCTGAGCCTCCGTCCTCTCAGAGATCACTGAGATCAGACTACGGCAGGCTCCCCGCCTTGCCCTGGCCCCGCGCCAGCCCGCCCCGCGCCAGCCCCGCCAGGCCCCTGCGAGGCTTTCCCCCTCCGCCTCCTCCCGCCCGCTGCACCCCGGCCCCAGCGGCTCCCCGTCACTGTCTCCCCCGCAGGCCTGACCCTGGGCGGTGCTGGTCCCTGCCGCCTCTGGGACTCTTCCTCCAGGTGGCACCCACATGGCTCACGCCTCCTGGCTTTCAAGACTGTCATCAAGTATCCCCTCCTCGACAGAGCCCGCCGGGACGCCCTCTTTAAACTTGTGACCGGCTTTCCCCCACTGACCCCGTCCCCGATGCCCGCCTCCACGTCCCACCGTGCAGTTGTCTCCCGCAGGCGGGCAGAGTCATGCGTTCCATTTTGTTTTGGGGGCTCGCTTCTTGTTAGCTGGCTAATGTAGCCCTGTGCCCAGACCTGCGCCCGCCAGGTGAAGGGGACAATGCCCTATGAGCACCAGGCTTGCCCTGGTGCTCGGTTTACAGAAACCAATGCCCTCACGCGACCCCTGCTCCTGCGGAGCTCGTGAGCACCAGTGGACGCACCCACGTGCACGCGTGCCCGGAAAACTCAAGGCAGCTGGGAGCTACGGGAGGCGCTGCTGGGGAGGTGGCACTTTGCGCCCCGACATAGGGAAAAGAGCCCATCTGTCTTATGAGCATGTTTACTATGGGCATACAATAGTGTAATCCTAAAGGCATTCTAAATCTCAACAAGGCATTCCCGTGGCACCGAGGAAGGCGCCGACAGCCAGACCACAGGGTCGGGCCGGCCACGGGCAGAACGGTGCCTGGGAGGCTGAGGAGAGGGCGAGGCAGCTTCCTGGAGGGGGCGGGCAACCATGCCGGGGCCCCTCCGTGCCGCCCCAGGCCTGACGCCGTGGGGAACGGCTGAATACCCGGTCACTGTTTCACGGCTGCCCTTTAGCTGGAGGACAAATTACATTGCCTGAGAAATTTCAGCTCTGACAGTAGACATTTCAAGAGACGATAATGCCCCAGCTGTATTTTTAGAAACTAAAACTATGACTCACTTGCTGCGTAATGAGGTTTAATTTTGCCGGTACTGGCAAAAGTTGTCCTACTAAAGCAGTCACTGGTCTAGGGCCATCTGTAAGGAAGACAATTAAGATTGATTGATACCACATATTGTTTTTCTGCCACTTGCACACGGAAGAAAGTACAATACTGCAGATGTATCATGGATTTATCATGTGCAAAGTCATTTAAACTTATTTTCATCCTATTTATGTTTTTATTCTATAAAACCTTCCAGGTCAGTGTATTTTTTTCACCTCTTACACCCTTTTTCTTTGCCATCAAGCGGCTGAGCGTGAGCGTCGGCCGCTGTGCCCCGGCCCCCAGCGACTGCCACAGCAAACGCCGCAGGGACTGGTGAGATTTTTATTTTCACACGAGCACAGCGACATCTGTTGGACACCAGGTGAACTACTCGCAATTTATGTGTATTCTTTCTTCAACCCTAAGGTGTCAGGATGTACAAATCAGGCTATTGGGACCAAAAGATTTAAGGACTAGAGCTGATAGGTGTTTCTCTGGCCTAAGGGTGCGGCGAAGAACATCTCTGGGGCACGAAGGGCCTGCGAACCTTGGCGTCGGGGGGCCTGGTGGAAGGAGAGATGGTCTCCTGAACGTCCGCCCCGGCGGAGCACACCTCCCGCTGTGGGCTCGCGCCGGCCCCCGAGTGCTGCTACCTTGAGACTTGGGTCAGGAAGCAGTTAGTTTAGGGGGATGTTTAACCTGTTTACAGTGTAACAAAGGGGACTAGGCAGGGGAGTTGCGATCAGCTGACAAGGAAACAGCGCTGGTGAGCAATATACAAACCCTCGTCTTCTGCGGGGCCTGCCAGACTCCAGAAGGGAGGGCGCTAGGAAAGAACCCTCCCTGCCTGGGTAGGGGACAGGGGCAGCTCCACCGACAGGGGACGATCCCCAAACCCCCAGCTGGCCGGCTGTGCGCAGCCGGGCCCCCGCCCCGCCCCAGGAGGGAAGGCCATGTCTTGAAGGCACCACTCTGTCCCTGGATAGAGGGACCACCACGGTGGAACAGGAGCCGCGATCTTCCTTCTCCCCCAGGACTCCAAAGGTCCACTGAAATGACGCCTGGGTTTAATGTGGATTTAAATTTTGGGCAGGTCAGTGAATCATCTGGTAAGAAAATCATTCTGGTTAACCCAAGATTTAGAGTAACACGATACATTAGTCCTCATAGAAATGACAGGTTTTAAAGAATTCATGACTAACTTCCGTAAACACAATCCTTTTCATCTTTAATCACACCGAAGGCATTTCAGGATAATCACGTACTTATGTGTTATTACTATTGTGCCAGTTTGAAGAAGTTTCTGAGTAAAACAATGTCCCATAACAGCATTTGATACAGTTATTTCAGCTCAAGGCGACTATACAAAAATGTCTCCATCCAATGCCAGTTCACACCGCACCTGAGCTGTCAGCCCCCCTGGACCTGTGAAGGGCTGATGCGTCAGCCCAGGCACTGCTGGGCACGGCCACTAGTCGGCGTGAGTCGTCCCCCGTTAGGGTCACGGAGACCTCTCAGCTAGTGGCAGCAGAGGGCGGCTACCCGAGAATTGGAGACAGTCGACACAATGCACATATATTAACCTGTAAAGGTATTTTTCCTCTTAGCCCCTTGTTGTGGAATATGAAGTTTGCCTAATTGCCTACTTGGTACCCTAAGTGCCGGTTTTGCTTTTATTTTATATACAAAGCTAAACAGTCACCTACCACCTTACATGCAACACACGCTTCTGGGCGGCTCCGTACCTGGCGGGGGAGGGTCATTGCGGCCTTCCTCCGGAGGGGCCCAGCGCAGGGCCCTGAGATCGCCCGCGCCAGAGCTGTCTATGCGCAGCGTCGGCGTCCCCCCTCTCAGCTGGCACAGCACCTAAAAGCAAAATAGAAAACAGCCCTCGCTTTTGAAAGCAGCCAGTAATAGGAGCTACATAGACCTCAACCTGGGAATGTGGCTATGATCTGGAACTCAAGTGTCCACGGAGAACGGCGAACTGCAGGCCTGTCTCGATGTCTCGCTCCACAGGCTCATGCTCCTGCGAGGGGAGCGCGCCAAGACATGCGTGGGCGGGCTGGCGCAGGTCCTGCCCCTGCCTTTCTCCGTAGGTGCCTGGCCCTGAGCTGGGTGGCGGGGGATGCGGAGCAGGGAACCGCGCCCCCACTGCCCCGGGGCTGCGTGAGCAGAGTGCCGAGCGCCCATGCCCCGCCCCCTCAGCTCCCCCTCATTCTAACGAGGGCTTGGTCCCCCCGACTCCATCTCCGAAGCTGGTCACACACTTAGAATAGTTTCTAATTTCACAACAATTGTTCTTTCCTGCCACATGCACATGTTATTATTTAACATGTGGGATATTTAAAATGTCTATTAATTTTATTTTCTACAAGTACAATTCAGAAAGGTTAATCCAAGAACGGAAAACTCTTAAGATGCCCCGCCAAGGTTCCTGGGCCTGACCCGCACTCGCAGGCCGCCTCCCTGGATTCTGACCATAAGTCAGTCCTCCGCCACCAAGTGAGCCTGCCAGTCGGTCTCATCAGTCGGGCAAAGGTCAGCCGGAGCCTCCCAGGTGCGGTCCTGTCCGAGGCCGGAGCAGCGGCGGCTTCTGGCCCCACACGGCGCCCAGTGCCGCTGCCAAAGCCCTCAAACGTCTGCAGGAGCTGTGGTTCCTGCCTGAGGCTGCCTCTGGGTCCCTTGAACAGGAGAGCTCAAGTGAGCCCGAGGGACCAATGTCCCGAAGTAACAGCGCAGGGCCTGTGTGGGCGAGGCACCAGTATGCGCGGCAGCAGCGGCCACGTTCTCCGGGGTTTTGTCTGCCTCCAGAGAAGTTATAGCCGTGCGCGCACACGGGCACACACGGCAGGGAGACAGGCCCGGGGTGGACCCTCCAGGCCCCTGTCCACGCACGGTCGGGCTCCCCCCACCCGCCAACCCCTCCCCTGCTCCCTCATGCTGCCGTTACTCGGGTCCGAGAGCTCGTCCCGTCACCGGCCGTGGGTCCTGGGCCAGCTCTGCTCTCGGGACCTGGCCCGAGTCACCCACAGGCAGAGAGGGGAGCGCAGCGGGTGGGTGCTGAGCTGCGCGGCTGCTGTCAGCTCTGTCTCAAGTGTTCCCTGGAGAAGTGCAGGCCTTAGGGCTGCGGCCTCTGTCTCGGGATAAGGGGCTGCAGCCTTGGTTGCTGGGCTCTCTGCTCGCTGAAGGGCCTGGGGCAGGCCCCGCTCCCCTCCCTGCCTGTCCCTGAGGACAACGAGCCCTGGAGGCCCCGGTAAAGATGGCGGTGTCACACCTCTTTTCTTATCTGTAAACGGAGATGAAAATAACGGCCACCCTACCGACCTGATGAGAGGATTAAAGGAAACAGCACGCGAACCACAGCTGTTCCAGACGGCCCGTCCTGCGGGGTGCTAGTTGCCATTGCTAGGAATTCGGAGGCCGGGAGGGAGGGAGGGAGGGAGGGAAGCGGCCTGTGCCCTGCAGCCACCCCCACCCTCCCAACTTGCCAACCAGGCAGCCGAGCTGGTCACCTGTCCCCTACCCCCCATCCCCGCCCATCAGCCTGGGTCCTTGCTGGCAGAGGGGACTTGTGGTTACTAGCCTTCAAAAATATGGCCATGGCCGAGCCTGCATCTGACTTGCTGAAACCAGGCAGAAATGAGAACCTCCAAGGCGAAAGCAACTCTAGGAAGGGTCTGCCTGTGTCCCTCCTGGTAGATGAGGTGACCGAAGACGCGGATGCGACAGTTCAGCGGGAAGAAAAACTGTCACTGAAAGCACCACCACTGTTGTCGCCAGCTTAGCCACTCACGGTAAGGCCGCACGTGTCACACGGAGAGCCACGCTTGCTTTGGCGTCCTTACCAGGGGGCTGGCGTCCTTGTGCGAGCCGACAGAGGCGCCCTCTGCCTCCTGCGACGATGGGAACAGGCGGGCTTCCTGGGAAAGAGGGGTCTGCCGCACGGCCTCCTCCGCAATCTCACTTGGGATAGCGCCCCCTCCTTCCTTCACTTCCACCTGGAAAGGAGTTGCTACTTTAGAAGTCCCCTTGTGGCACTGGGTTCAGCAGGTGCATAAAACAGGAACCCCCCTGTGGAAGCGGCCTTGTTAAAGCAGAGAGCCTTCCTGCCCCTCTCCTGCCTCTCTACCTCGTGCACATTCCCCCTGCGGGGCAACAAGTCGCCCACCAGCCTCGCTAGGGACGGAGGACCCTGAGGACCCAACCATCTGCCCACAAGGTGAGAGATGTGGTTTCAATGTGGCACCCACTGCAAGCAACCGAGACGATGCCTGGGTCCTCGGGTGCCCCTCTGGCTGCTCCCCAGCCCCCACCCTAATGGAGCTGGTGGCCTAGTGGGAGCTTCCGGAAACGTGAGCCCTTAATCGCTGTCCTTACAGCAGACTCATCGGGTTTTATGAAATGTTCCTGTCGATTGTTTGCTTTTTCCTCGTGAAACCTGAAATCTCTGCTGCTGTTTTAGCGATACTTGTAATGTAACTTATAATGCGTTGCCGGTAACAGTTATAAATAGTAGAGCTCCCCTGGGACAGCAGTATCCGTTACTAACACAGAACAGCGTGCATGGGCGGGGCTGACCGCCAACTTCGCTTCTAGGCTCTGTTCTCCCACGACGGTCACGCCAGCGAGACCACCGAGAGCAGGGAGAGACCCCATATGGCTGCAAGTTGGTGGAGCTTCTAGAAAACTAAAGGGTTTCTGTTAAAAAAAAATCGCCATCAGAGTTGAGGGTTTTAAAATTGGCATGCTTTTTACATTCGATAAGAACGTAAGGAGGCCTGAAAACAGCAGTCCACTTGCAGCGTGGTCCCCACCCTCACCTCCGCCCGTCCTGCTGCCTTGAGAGGGGACAGGCAAGTCCTTCAAAGCAGATGGTGTCTCCACAGGAGCCGGGCTGGGACCCACAGGCAGGAGGTGCCAGGACACGGTTGGCCTGGTAGCAAATGCAGACTCACACGCGAGCCGCCTGAGGACGGTTCGGAGGAAGACCAGCATGGGGTGAGGTGCGGGGCCTAGCCACGCTGGGGCTCCTTGCAGGCAACTGAGGGCCAGGTGGGGCCCGGCCGCGACTTTACGCCAAGGAGCAGTGCTTGTGCTAAAAGAAAACCGGGGAGCAGAAACTTGCTGTGGATTCTGACAAAGTCAGGCTCCAGCTGTCCTGACACCAACTCAGACCTGCTGTGACGGCTTAATCTATGGCACTAAAATGATGTCATGACCGAGTGATCTACTTTTCTAAACTAGGCGCTTTGGGGGGCCAACATGCATTTCCTTGGGATCCTTTGCTTCCTATAAAAACAAATTAGTTTCAGCAGGAACAGAGCAGAAAATTACCAGTGGTTTCCTGCAGCAAAGGAGGGCAGTTAGCTGAGAACTAGCAGGAATTTACTGACTTATATTACAAGTGCTCAAACAACAAAGCATTATAAACAAAAAAAGGGAAAAAAGTAAAATGCGGGAATATGAGAGAGACCTCAACGATGCTGCATCTGCTTTCACAGACACTGGTGACGGACAAACAGGGCTCCCTTCCTAAAGCCAGAGGGCAAACGTGGGGGGGGGGGGGGGGGCGGTCAACACACTCTCAGCTCTCCCCTCGGGTTGCATGCCCTCTGCCGGGTTAGGCCGGGTTTGAACCCGGGGCCCACGACAGGATCCACCTCCAGGGACAATGGCTTGGCTGGCTGGTGCATCTGGGACTGCAAAGGGCGCCCCCGTGTTCGGAGTGAGGGGCTCCACCCAGGGCTGCCAACGACGGGGAAAGGCGCTTGCCGAGGGAAGCTGGTGCACAGCCAGCGCGACCTCAAGGCCCTGCTTGGGAGGCCCACAGGGGCCCTGCGCCTGTTCCTCTCGCAGATCTTACTGGAATCACGCGGACACCGGCGTGGGCCGCTCCTTCCCGTGCCCAGGCGCCCAGGGGCACGACGGCGGGGCTCCCGTGCGGAGTCCGCAGTGGGGACAGGAAGTGCACGTTGAAGGCCTGCGGGGCCGGCGCGGCGGGGAGCACAGCGTCCCCCAGGGGGTCGAGCTCGGGGAGCCGCGGAAACTCCCCCGCCATGTCCTCCTCGTGTCCCTCCACCAGGAGCCCGGCTTTGGCCTCGTCCTCGCAGGCCGCGGTCAGCGGGGGGTTGAACGCGTGCAGCAGCGGCTCCGTGGGGTCCGCGGCGCCCAGGTATGCGTCTCTGAGCCCGTGGAACTCCTCGTCCCCGGCCCTCGCCACTGCCGGGGCCTTCAGGGGCAGGTTTTCCGAAGCAAACCCGCCGTCTGCGCCGAACAGGTCTGGCACCATCGCCTCTTCGGGACCGGACATGCTGCCGAGCAGGGGGCCCTCCTCCATGTCTGCGGACCGGCCTGGGCCGCGCCCCCGGCCCGGCGGGATCGGTGCGGGCCCGCGCCCCTGCAGCGGCGCCCCCTGGTGAGGCGGGCACCGCCCCTCTCCCCGCCTGCAGACCAGAGGCCGGCCCGGGGCCCGGCGAGGCCCGACGGCGGCCGGAGTCTCAGGAGCGCAGGGACGCCGAGACAGGACTCCTCAGGGGGACGCACCGACAGCTAGAGGAACTCGTGTGACAGTTGACGGTTGGAGAAGGGGCGGGGGGTCAGGGGTGAGAGTGGGCGGGGCCGGGGCCGGCGGCGCGAGGCAGGGGGCGGGACCCGGAGGGAGGTGCTCGCTGGCGGGTGGGCGGGGCCGCCAGCAGGTGGGCGGGGCCCGCGGGGGCGCAGGAGTGTGGGAGTGAGCGGGGCGGAGCGCGGGAGTGGGATGGGGTTGCAGGCGAGGGAGCCGGAGACGCAGGGACCTAGTAGGGGCGGCCCGGTGAGAGCGGGGCGGGCGCGCGGTGCGCAGACGGCACCAGGGACGGGCGGGCCGTCGTGTGGAGGTGGGCAGGGAAGGGCGCAGCAGCTCCGAGGCGCAGCAGCTCCAGGCTTCGGTGGGGACACTGAGGCCCGTAGGCCCGTTTGACGCAGCGCTGGTGGGACTCCCTGGCTTGATTCCTGCGCTCGGGAGCGCCGCGAGTGGACGGAAGGCCAGGGGCTTGCACCCGCATCTTCCCAGCCGAGCGCGCACCTCACATCCTTAAGTGTTGGAGCTTGGGGTGAGTCGCTGAAAACTGGGCATTCTCCGTAGTCAAATTGGAACGACCCAGCGTTGATGGCTGGGGAGGAGGGTCGGGGGAGGCGGAGTCTGGCAAGACCTAGAAGTAACAAATACAACTCCCACTGTGTGAGGTACCGCACACTATGGGTGGGGAGTGCGCTAAATCCACCCTTCACGGAAGAAGTCGACACTGCAAGTGTAAGCTTCTGTGCGGGGATGCTCTGACCTGCCAGGCCCGCCAAGCGGAGCTGAAAGGTGCTGGAAGCCGGGTGCTGGGGGTAAGGACAGATTCCCTGTAACTCTGGGGCACTGTTTCATATGCTAGTATTGTTTGGGTAAAAAATGAAAATGTAAAACATCAACTTCCTAACGTCATTTTTTAAAAACTTTTCAAAGAGTAACCAAGACAGCAAGACTGTACACTACTATTTAGCCACACACTTCAACATCAAGAAGTCCCAGGAATATTTTATGTGGTTGAGAATTCCCAAATTTAAGGGACAGCTTTAAGTGGGCTAGGACTTATCTGAAAACTTATTCTGGGATATTAAAGTGGAGTTCAAAATAAATGTTATCAAGTTATCACTGCTGGAATTTTTCTGCCATATGAATGACCCAAAATAATATCCCCAGGAACTAGTTCATTACAGACATACTGGACTTGAACTGAAGTCCGTTTTTGGAGTCACTTCCTGTGCCCGTACTCCGTAGGGCAGGACTCCACAGAAGGCTCTAGTGGCTTCGGATTAAAGCTAGGCGAGCTCTTTTTTAAATTATGTGAACAGAAGCCCCCCTGCCGGAGTATTTAGGTATCGCATAAAGCTGACGTTCCCCTAAGCACCCCGCCGTCCCCAGTTACACCGGCCTTTCAAAGCCGGGTCACTGTGAATTGTCTTTTCAGCCCTTTCCCTGGGATTTGCACACCCGTGTGTGAAGGTGGCTTTACCCTAATTTTATGGCTGGAGTAACCACATCACGTGGAACTCAGCTGAGTTCAAGGGCAGGGCAGAGCGCAATTTGGGCTTCCCACACCGTAGGGACCTAGAAGGCAGCTAATATAACCCCACGAGCCCACGTGGAAACGTGAGTGGCCGACACCCTGGGCAAGCACGTCGCCCCCATCCGCTCACTCCCTCCCCCAGCAGACGCCTTTGCGGAGCAGGCTCCCACCCGCCGGGCATCGCGTCCCGCAGGCACCGCCCCTGGGACGCAGGCACCGCCCCTGGGACGTCCGCTCGCTCGCTGCCCCTGCTGCTCGCAGGCCCTGCTGGTCCCACTCAGCCAAACCTGTTTCTAAAAAACCAGCCCCTTCCTGGGCCTGCTCCTCCTCCCTCTTCCTGCCTGGCCACCACCGTGATCCCCTCTCAGCCGCGGACACTCGCAACCGTAGGCTGCCTGTCTCCTCCGCCCGGAATCTGATCCCCACCTGCCCTCAGACGCTGGTGGCGGCCCTGCTGTATCCCCACGTGCCCGGAACAGTGCTTAGTTGGCACTCAGTAAGAACTGCTGAGAAAACGGAATCCACACATGCACTGGACGGATGTTTACTGAGCTGCTGCTGTGTCAGGCACTGTTCTAGGCCCAGGACAGGGGGTGGAGGAAGGAGCGGGTGCAGAGTGCAAATCCACAGCCCTCCCTGGCAACCTCCATGCTCAGCCAGGGCCCAGATGCCGCGGCGCCCCCTCTGCCCCACCCGGGGCCTTTTGCGCATTGTCGGTTTCTCACCTTTGTCCCGAGTGCTTGAGCTTGGTACCTGACTTATGCCCTCCTTATTAACAGAACAAAAGAGAAACAAATACAGTGGTAGACAGGGATTAATGTTTTTATTAATGACAAGATTCATTCTGCATTTCTAAGATTTACATCCAAAAGAGCATATTGTATTTACATGCAAAGGACAGTCCAAGATAACAAATTCAAACCACAGCTCCAGTAAGACTGCGGTTCATTCCAAGTTAAATTAAACACACAATACTCCTATCTCTTCCTTTCAACATGTACAGTAAAAATCCACTCTTCTGTCTTTTAAGGAATAGAAAAGTTGCATTGACAACGGCACTGATTTGCAAAAATATTTAAAACCTGAGAGATAAGCCCAAATATGTTTGAGTGCTAACATGTGGACATTGGAATGCCAGGTAATACAGACTGGTCAGCGGTCAATGACGCAGGGTTTAGGGGGCCCTGACTGGAAGCCACGCCGCCTGGGGCGGAGGGGGCTCTGGCCCACATCTCCTGGACCGCGTACCACAGATAAGCAGGGGGTTTCATACTGCGGGTTTTTTTTTTTTCTTCTGTTCTCACTTCTTGCTTTCAAGAGAAATACATCTTTGGCCCATCAGGTGGGGTTTTTACATTACAATGCAGACAGGGAGACAGCCCCATGTGCCCTGGGGCGAGCGCCTCCAGCAGGTCAGCCCCACCGATGCCCCAAGTGCGGGGCTGTCCCGAGGCAAGCCCAGCCAGGGCGAAGTGGTCAGAAAAATAAATACACAGTTGCCTAAAGGGACAGCCGAGCTTGTCACAACAGCACAGAGACAGTGGGTATTCACTCCAGGATCCTTTCTTTTTACATTAAATACTGAAGACGATTCAGTGCATAATTGCTTTTTTGGTCACTCACCCTTTTTTGGTAAGGCACTCCTATCTGAAGGGTGGGCTGCGTCAGACCCAGCACTCATCACCCGTGACATTTTGGCCGGTCACCAAGATGACCCGGCGCACTGGCCCCCCATCTCCTTTGGAAGCAGAGGGGGGTCTTCTCTCTGACCAGGTGGGATTAGAAAGCGCTCTGCCAGGCACTGTGGCGCTGCCCTCTCCCGGCCATTTGGAGGTTCCTCTTCTTTTCTCAGGTTTTGTTCCTTTCTCAGGGGCAAACGTCAGGGTCGATTGCCATTGGTTGGGGTAAGCAGTACCACTGAACGCACATTGTATGTTATCGGGCAGGGACTACGCTAGACGTACGGTACCTGAGCACGCTGCCCAACCTGCCCCGTTCCTGACGCACGCCAACTCTCCAGGGGAGGCAGCGCAACGGAGGAACCCACAGCTGCCCCATAGGGGAACCGGGCTTTCTAGGGGTGGGAGAACCACAGAAAATGCCTATTTAGGGTGATCCACTCAGTGACTTGAGAAGGAGTAAGACACCTATAGTTATATTTATTTATTTACAAAATAAACCTCTCATCTGGTCTCCCTCACATTTAGGGCCTTCCGAGGTTAAGGCACCGGGTTTGGAACACTCACAAGGTCTGGGAAGTGAAAGATGCGCACACTGCGTGCTTCCCGCACGGACAGGCGTGCATGCGGCCAGGCTGGACGAGGACGGGCACCGCAGGGACGAAAGCTGCTTCCAAAAGCATGACAATTTCAGTTACTGTGTTATATGTGCGTCAGCTGTTAACAGCCACCCTCCTCGACCCACACGACGCCCTTCTCTCTGGAGGGAACATACGCTTACGCTGCTCTGATAAAATGAAATGCCCCTAAGTACCAGGTGCTGGGTCGCCACCGAGGAAGTGCAGCTGCTCCCAACACGTGCGAAGTCACAGCCCCACTGACTCCTTCGTGAGCACCGCGATATTTTAGTCCCTCAATAAACACAAGTTAATGTGAAGACTTTTGGGGGCACTCCCTCAAAGGTCCCCCAAGTCGGGGTGGCGGAGGCTGCTGTTCTAGGGGAAAAAAAACAAAAACAAAAACACCAAACCCTTGACGGCAAGAAAACTTCTCAGTTTTTTAGGGCAATTTTTCATCCTGAACTACGATCAGGATTAATAGCTATTTTTCATTTGGTTTTTAATCAGAAGAGCTCATTTTCCTTCCCAGTGACTATCGTGGGAGTTACTTTTTAGAGTTGAAGCCGAACCCAAACAGAGTGATGATGTCAGTCATCGCTTGTCTCAGGTGCTTCCCGAAGCGATGAGAATCCTTTCATTTGAAAAGAGAAGAAGACACATGCGTTACAACCTGGTGGTCCCCACCTGCCAGGCCTCTTCCCCTGCACTCTGACTTGAACAACGAACTACCGTTTCTTTTCCCGCCCAGTCTCTAAGTCTGGACTTCATGCCTTACATCAGTCGATTGTGTGTTCTGGGGCACTGCTGAGGGTTAGCAGAGGTGAGAGGCTGGGTGTGGTGTGTGGCCGTGCTCCTGATCTGAGGCGCTCCCTGATGTCGAGGCGTTAAATGCCGTGTAAAACACAGTAAATACATGAGTTCCAGTCTCCCCTGTTAGTGAACTTGGCGTTGCTTGTCAGACAATGTACAACATGGAAAGCAGAGAAGGTAAATGAGGATCAACAGCGCCATGCTAGGAGCGGGGGCACGTGCTGCACCCACAGAACGCCGCAGCCCCTGCCTTGTCGTGTGTGTGTGCGTGTCTGTGTGAGTGTGTGAGCGTGTGCACACTGATCCGCGTCCACTCTCCAATGTGGCAGGCTCTGAAAGCTACACGAGCTTGCCAACGCTAAGATTTAAAGCCACTGCTACAAGCAAATATAAACATTAAACCAAATAAGATAATTTCCTTAAAAACAAGGTTAACAGAATTTCAAGATTAATTTGTAAAGATCCAAACCAAGTCAAAGTACATAAGCGAATTAAAATGTTTGGTCAAATTAAGAATATGTTTCTTTTAAAAAAAGTAAACAGCAGCCCCGGACGGAGAGCATCGTCCAGATACACCAGGGTTGCGGGTTTGATCCCTGGTCAGGGCACGTACTGTACAAGAAACAACCAGTGAATGCATCGATAAGTGGAACAACAAATCGACATTTCCCTGCCCCTTTTGTCTCCTAACCCCTAAAATCAATCAATAAACATTTCTTAAAAAAGGAAATGGTAAAAACACCCCGCCCCCTGAGAAGGGGAGGGTGTTCGCTCCTTACTGTCTCAGGGCAGGAGAACTTGGAGGATATGTGGAAATTGATGAGGTTTTCTCCCACCAAAATGTATGACACGCCATAGCCGTCGTCGGCAACCTGCAGGACAAAGTGGGTTGAAATTTAAGCTCAGGAAACGAGACGAGGGTGGGAGGGGGCGGCTTTCTCACGGCCCCAACGCGAGACTGCTGCCAACCGGCGTCTGCCCCCACAGCCCTCAGCTCTCCGCGCCGCCCCAGGGCGGGCAGCGAGGACGAGCACCTCACAGAAGAGAGCTGGGGAGAAAGCGCCTGGCCCATTTTCTAAGGATGATGGATGGGGCGACATGAAGGCACCGGCTCTGTCAACGTGAGGAACCCTAGTCTCAGAACTCGGGGAACCGAAATCCCATCGGGTGGCCACGAGGGCCAGTGGCTCCGCAGGGCGGGGGCGGCGCACGCAGAAAACTCAAGCTAACGACTGAGTTTGTTCAGACACAAACTGCCTGACTCATATCCACGCGTGGATCCCGCCCCCGGCAAAATGGGCTCCGTGGCCAAAAGCGGCACCCGAGGCTGAGCCTCGTTTGGATGTCACGATGGTTACTCTGTTTCATCTATCCTGTGTCGGGTTTACTAAGATAACAGTCGAGGTAGGGAGACCGACCTCAGCTCCACAACCGGGGAGGAGGAGGTGTGCAGGCCAACGCACGGACCCCAGGCGGCACTGGAAGGGACAGGGAAGAGGCTTGCCAAGCTCTTTATCCCCCGGGATGTCTTTGTTAGAGTCAAAACGTCTTCCCAGGTTTAACTGGGAAAACGCATGGAACTTCGCAGTGAAGGTCGCAATTCAGGAGAAGCTGCTAGGGTGAGACAGGCGCCGCGGGCGAGCGAGCCCCCGGTCCAAGAGTCTGTTTCAAATGCACACTTTTAATGGTAACCAATAACAAATCCTACAAATTGTGGAATAAGAAACTCCGTCCGTATTGATAACTGGCAGGAACTCCCTTTCAGGGCTCTGAACGCAGACGAGCCCGAGGTGGCGGGGCACAGGCGTGTCCTGGCTCTGGGACTTACCGGCCCAAAGCCCCCTCCGCTGGACACGTACTCCGGGTTCCTCTCCAGATCAAACAGCTCCACCTGCTGCTGCGGGGTCTGGCTGGTGGACAACCTCCAAGGCTCGGACAGGACCTGGTGAGACATACCAGGAAGTGTTCCAGTGACCCTTTTCCCAATCCCGTCTTCTCTGTCCCCAAAGGGCCCCGGTGGGAGACCAGAACAAGCGGGCTCGGTTTTCGACTCTTCGGGCGCAGGACACCTGCAGGCGGGGCGTGGGGCAGCTGTGCACAGCAGGCTGGAGGGGCCAACACCAGCGAACGGCATCTCCAGCAGAAGAGGTGGCAGGGACGTTAAGATTCACAAGGGGGGGTGCCCTGGCTGGGAGGCTCAGCTGGTTGGAGCGTCATCCCACAGCCAAAAGGTCGTAGGTTCAATTCCCAGGCAGGGCACATACCTCGGTTGCAGGTTTGATCCCTGGTCAGGGCGTGTATGGGAGGCAACCGATCTTTGTTTCTCTCTCACATGGCTATTTCTCTTTCTCTCTCTCTCTCTCTCTAAAATCAATAAATAATATCCACAGGCGAGGATTGGAAAAAAAAAAGGTTCGCCATGGGGGCCGCTTTCAGAAATCTTTCAGGCTGCTTGTGGAACACAGCCATTCCTAGAAATGAAAGTGTATAAAATTAAATACACTCTATCAACAACTAAGCTCGTCACATCGTCATTCATTCGGCACATTTTACTGTTATCCACGCTCTGGGGGCTCCTAATGTCCAGGAGGCCTGGAGGAGCGACCAGAGCACAGGGCATCCCAGGGTCGAAGAAACCCATCACGTTTTCCGCTGAGTTCAGCCCCCAGACCCGTTGGCTGCACCAGCTCCGTCTGTAAAGCTGTCCCACGAATTTACTGGGTTCTGGTTCAGCCCACGAGCTGGTGTGCGCCGCGGCAGGAAGACGCGACTTACTTCCTTCAGGAACGGAGACTCGACGGCGAGGTACTTGGACACCACGTAGAGGCAGAAGAGGTGGCGGTCGATCCCAGAGCCGGTCATCGCCAGGCGGTACATGTGCTGGTGCTTCTCACAGGCGGTCTTGAATAATTTGAGTCTCTGCTCAACCTAAATAGCAAAGGGTGCAAAGTTTCGGGTCGCGCGGCGCAGGGGCCCCACAGGACGCCGATATCCGGTGACCAGGAGAAACTGCCCCGCGGTCCCATCGCCTGACTGCCCCGCCCCCACGTCGTTGGAGGAACACTTTGGGGGCCCGCGGGCGGCCCGCCTGGTGGCATTACACCTTTTACACAAATGAGATCACTCGTGTAAAAATAGTAACAAACAGTCACTTTAAAACAGAGCCTGGGAGGCGATCTGGGGGGAGCCGCCCTGTACATCTTATGCTTCAAACGGCAGGACGTTCACACAGGGCAAAATAATCTCTGGGCTGAGCCTGAGGCAACACTGTGTCCCCAGGAAGTATCTGCGAAGATTAGAGGAAAGCAGACACTATGATCACCCTATCAGAGTGAAAATTAGAGACCTTCTCAGAACTAGCATCGCTGTGTCTTCTGCAGGACAGAAACGCCTTCCTTCTGGACGGGACTCTTCCCCCTCCTGTCTCCTCATTGTTCACTGCCCCACCTTGTCTCCTGTCCAAACACTACGAGGGCTTCTGCCTGAACCAGGGCTTCCGCTCCAGCTACTCTCTGGGATCCCCGGGCAGCGCTTGTGGCCTCTGGCCTTTCTTAGGGTAACGCTGAGTATGCAGGAGAGTGCCAGGGGCCGCTTCCCTCGTCGTCAGGAAATGAGGTTCTGTCCGAAATGTTACCGTGGGTGGTAAACATTCCTCCCAAGCATCCCACTATCAGCCCCCCTAAAACAGCGCTTCTAGCCCTTTCTGGGGCTGCTGCTCCAGGCTCTCCTGGACTCTTGTTAGGCCAGTCACAGAGTGAGTGGATCTCTGTGGGGAACCCCCGCGGGCTGTGCCCACCCACTTGGGACCTGACACCACCCCCGGCCCCAGGGGAGGGCAGAGAGCCCTGGGGCTCAGCGTGGGCGCCTGCGCTCACGGTCCCACACAGCCTGGGCCGAACTCCTCTGTGCCGAACAGGAACTGACAGCCCTCCACAGGCTACCGGCGCGACGTTCAAAGGCCGGTACAGGGAGCCCCAGCCCTGGCCTGCTCGCAGCCTCAGTCACCCCAAGCGGAGGGCTCCCCATTTCTCCCCAACAACTCACACCGGCCTGAAGCCGCCGACTCCAATGCCTGGCTCACCTGTGTGCTATGCTAACGTAAAGACTCTCAGGGCGCGTACCCGGATTTGCAGAAGTGACAGAATGACAGGGGGCGGGCACAAATGTCAACCTCTCCCTGTCGTGTGCCCCGACGGTGACACTGTAGCACCTGCTGTTCCCATGGAAAGGCGGAGGAAAGGAGGGGCTGGACGTGGAGCCACTGGACCATAGCGGGAGGCCCCCGTGGGACGGCGCGCACAGCGCCCTTCGCCTCACCGTTTGGGAGGGGTCCACCATGGCGAGCACGAAGTTGCACGACTCCGTGGTGCAGGACCGCACCGTCTCCGTCCTCCCCTCGCGGAACAGCCGGGTCATGGAGGCCTCGTACGTGAGGCAAAACCTGCCCATGTCCTGGGGGAGAGAAGGGACTTTCAGGGGAGGCAGGCGGGGAACGGGGACGCCGGCGAGGGGGCGGGGCGGCCAGGAGAGGCGGGCCCGCCGCAGCCTGTGTTAGGTCGTCGCGTGGGGTTATGGCGCAGCGGGCGGGCGGAGGCGCTGTTAGCTTCACGAAGGCCGGGGGTCCGCTCTGCGTAACCCAGGTCTCCCTTCCAGGGGCAGCGGGCGCCAGGGCCCAGTCCCCCGAGCTGCACACGCCTTCCAAGGGCCAACAGTTACGGGATGCACACACGCCAAGCAGGTCTGCATGCGACAGTCTGAAATTGCCTGAAGGTGGGAGGTGGTGGCGGCAGGCCCCCCACCATGCTTGGGTGATGGTCGGAACACCCGCCGGGGACACCAATGCTGCAACAGAGGGGACGGGGCGGCAGGGCTGCCTCGCGGCGGAGCTCCCGCTGGGCAGGAGGGAGGGGCACTGGGAGGGGGCAGCTGTGGGGATGGCAGGGGCAGTGGGGAGCAGATGGGCGGTCCCTCTAGGACACTCCTGTTTTCTTGGTGAAACAAGGTCGCCTGCTGAGAGTAAGGATGGGAGGAGGTGCTGGGAGTCTGAGGGGGTATGACCCGGGCATTTAGGGGCACCGGGAGAGGGGTGCCCGGAGACGCCAGAATCACTGCTTGTCAATCGAGTGGGCTGAGCCGGGAGCTGGGGGTTTTCTGCAGCCACACCAGCTTCTTGGGGGCAGGAGGAAGCCAGCCGAGAGCTAGGCTGAACCAAGGTGGCCCTGCTGTGCTTGAGGCCACGGTGCGGAGGTGGGGGACGGGGCCTCGGGCCAGGGAGAAGAGGAGGGGGAGGGCAAGACGGGTGGAGGCTGTAGTGGGGTCTGGGGCCAGGAAGGGCGTGATGGCAGCCCCGCGAGGGCTCCGGGAGGAGCAGCGAGGGGTGGAGGACAGAGAGGGAGTCCCGGCAGCACGTGCCGTCCAACCGCACACGACAGCCAACCGCACACCCCACGCGAGGAAGCGACCAGCGCTCTGCCTGGGCGGGTACCCACGGCCACCAGGGGGCTCGAGGAGGTGCGGGTTCCCGTCACTGACGAGACCCAAATTATTCCTGACAGGCAACACCTGGGCCTTCGGGCGCACCCTGGCATGGCCGTGGGACCCCACCAAGGCTGAACGTCCTTGGTCCGCCGCCCAGACCTGTGAGAGGCCCTGCCGGCTGCCGGGGTTGCCGGGACGCTCTTGGCCCCACGGCCCCGCACGTGCCGTGGAGGAGCGGGCCGGCAGGAGGGAGGGCCGGTGGTGCGCGGGGTGCTTGGCTCCCCTCTGCGACTGCGCCCAGCCTCTGGTGGTTGCCACTGAAGGCTTCCACATGCCCCCAACAAAGAACACCCACTCAGCACCGGTCCCTAACACGCCAGTCACAAAAATTCCCCAGACGGGGTCTAAGAGGCGTCCAGCTCCTCTCTTGAGCAGGGTCCCAGGGGATGTGTCTGACGCGCCTTTCACAGAGCCCCCCCGCAGACCCCTTACTGCGGGGGCCTCAGGGGGCTCACTGTGAAGGGAGTGGCAGGGAGGGGGAGTGGAGGGGGGAGGAACAGCACCCATCTGGTATTTTAGTCGTTTAATAAAGGTTAACGGGGGACCTAGGAAGCAATGGTTTACTTGATGTCAACTTTCCCACGTCAAACTCGAACGCTGTAAGCAGCCAGCAGTCATGCGCTATCCCCACAATTGAAACAAGGACCAACCGAAAACCTCGTGGCAAAAGCACAAGATGTTAGTGTGTTCACACGCCCTCACAGAGCCCCGCCCGTGGCGCCTGCAGCCCCATAATGACCTGCCATGGCCAGCCGCCCTCGGGAGGCGTCTCCGGTGTCTAGCGCGCCGGATGGAGGGAGTGTCTACGAAGACATTAACACGGGAGGCGTGAGAACACAGGCCTGCCCCACAGCAGCGCCACGGCCCGGGCGCGAAGGGCGGATGGGTGCCTTCGGTGCCCCTTGTTCTCTCGGAGAGAGAAAATGCAGCTGAAGAGCCGGAGGCAAACCACCACAGACCACACGATGGCCCCTGCCCAGTGCCTGCCTTCAGCCAATCACTAAGTGCGTATTCACGGACATCTCTTCCTCTGTGGCTGCCACGTTCCTGCCCCCGCGGAGCCAACGGCCTTGACGTGGTGTCCCGCGGCGAGGGGCAGGCGCACCGAACAGGAACGGTGCCAGCCTAGTGAAGGGAGCAAGTGCGACGGCCCCACGGTGGCAGGAGCCCCGCAGGTCCCAGGGCGGCCTGAGGGCCGCGCGGCGGGACAGGGTGAGCGAGGCCCGCGGTGCTGCCAGGCAAGGCTGGAGGGCGGCCGGGAACCAGGCCGCTGCTTGCTGACCCCGGGCGCGGGTGTGTGAACTTGGATGGGAAAATGTAACCGTGTTAATTTCCAACTAACCTCACACTGGAATACTTCCTGTAGAACTGCTGGCTACAAACCACAGTAGCCTGAGAGGCGTCTGTGACTTCGAATAGAAAATCATAGCTGTTTTCACAGTTGTTCCACATGTCCCAAAATGTCAGCTATGCTTATCACTGCTTCAAAGTTACAGCAGTTGCTAGACTGGCTATTCAAAACCTAGGGCGTAATTAGGTTTACTGCACCACAAATTTATGGTGACTCTTTTGACATCTGCGTTTTCATGACCTGCTTAGCCGGGGTCACCCTGTGCATTTCTTTGTAGGCTTTATTAACCCTATTCTGGGAAGGGGTCCTCCAGCGGCCCAGGGGGTCCAGGGACAGAGAAGGTTCCGGACCCTGGAGGAGACCCCAGGCCAGGCAGGACGTCCGGATCCGTGCCTCGCCATGGGGAGGTCCCACGGCTCTGGGCCGGGCAGAGCCAGGTCTTGACCCTCAGCTCCACAGAGAGCCCTGTCCCTACAGAGCTGGTGCCCAACCAAGCACACGCTGGAAAGTTTGGGGTGGCCGTGGCCGGTGCGGCTCAGCTGGCTGGAGCATCGTCCTGTCCCCCAGAGGTTGCAGGTTCGATCCCTGGTCGCGGCGCATATGGGAGGCAACTGACTGTTGATGTTTCTCTCATATCAACGTTTCTCTTCTTCTCTCCCCTTTCCTCTGACTCTGAAGTCAATCAACATATAAATAAATAAGTTTGGGATGGAGAAATCTAATTTACCTTTCTAACATGTCACTTTAATAAAGCGATCATGTTTAACGGATTGAGTGCTGGGTGAAGACCGGACGAGGGGGAGGGGCTCGGGATGAAATCTTGAGGATTTCTGGCCTGAGGACAAAGCACAGGTGTATGCGCCTGGGTTCTTAAAACAAGGAGATCTTAACTTTTAATACCCTGATTACCTAAAAAGTAACTGTAATACAGACTTGTGCAAAAAACAAAACAAAAAAAAACCTCCCACCAAAAACAGAAAAATGGAAGGAAATAACGATCAGCCTTCCCAGCCCGTGTCTCCTTTCTAGACTTTGCAAACAGTAAGGTACAAGGTGGGGACCGCCGTCTGGATTACGCACGAGGAGCCAGTGTAGCCTTTGTGGGCCGAGTGCCAGTTCTCTGTGAAACCCTGAAAACCCATTTCATGTTCCCATGTCATAAAACATTGCTCTTCTTTGGATTTTTTCTAGTGATTAAAAACATAAAACCATTCTCGGCTCAAGGGCCAGGCAAAACCAGGCGAAGGGCTGGGTGGGGCCGGTGGGCCAGGGTTTGCCGGTCCCTGTAATGGACGGCTGACCTGCCCCCCATTTCGGGGCTCAGGGTTTCCAGGGAGAACACACCGCAGACATCGTCCGCTAGCTACGCAACAGTCACCCGCGGGAAGCAACCATAACTGCCGCGTCTTACGCGGATGCCCGCTCGGATGGCTCCGGGTTCCCGCAGAGCGCACGGGTGCGCTCCTCTCTGCGGGCCTGTCCTGGGCACACTGCTCCCCGGCAGAACCGTGTGAGCCGTGCGTGCTCCTGGGGCACCCAGGGAGGGCACACGTTCTGTGTGTGTCGCGAACCACTTGCCATGCCCTTCTCCTGGGAAAGCAGCTGCCCCGACCCCACTGTCCTGCTGGGCTGCTTACTGCCCCCAACGGGGAATCAGGAGCCACACTTTCCCGCCCCGTTTACTGACCGAGTCACCCCTCCCCCCGGGGTGAGCCGTCCCCTGCACCCCGCACTGTGTCACCCCAAGGAGCAACCCCGGCCGTACCGAACCCTGCCGGTCACTACAACTTTCCGTCTCTGTATTTCAGGCTTTGAGAGTCTGCGCATCACGCCGCCCCGTGTCCACCTACTACGTTCATCGTTCAGAACGTAACTTAGTTCTTCTCGCACGTTTGCTCTCCCGGATGAACCTGAGGATCAACTGATGGACCTCCTTCCCTAGACTGATCTTCGGACCCCCGTGTTCACGCTGACCTGGGAAGACTCATCTGTGTCACGTCTCTCTGCCCGCGTGGCGGTCTCCGCCCGTGGCGTGTGCCCCTGCGGGTTCTGCCCCCGGCCTCCCTGCTGAGCGCCTTCCTCCGCAGCGAGGGCGCAGGCACGACCTTCCTCCTGCTGGGCAGCCCATCAGCCTACGCTCACAGGGCGCAGACCTTTGCGAGCGGCGGGGCCCTGAGGCAGCCGGGCCCCGTTTTCTCAGGGCTGCCCCCACGTCTTCCCCTTTGACGCCCTGTGCTGGCTATTGACACCCATGGCATTTGCCATGTGAAGGAAAGAGGTCCTGGGACTGAAAGTTACCAGGAAGGAATGTTACGTTTTCAGTATCTGTCACAACAACTCGTTTCTTCTGTCATCTAATAACGTGACCTCATCTGTCACGGGGTGCACTAGTACCCACATCACCCTCCCGCCACTGGTATAAGCTCCTGCTGCGGATACTTCTACACCGGGAGAGTCTATGTGCTGACGTTGTTTTTAGGTTCTTTGCATCTATGATTATGAGCAAACTCAGTCCACACCAAAGGTTAGAGACAGCACGTCATCTCCCTAAGTACTTCTGCCTGACCACGCCCTCGGGGTCCGAGCTGAGGTTATGGTTTAAGTCTCCCCTTTGCAGAGCGGTGAGACCTCACTCCGTGCCCGCCCCGGGTTCTCCCTGCCCTGTATGACACAGGACATGGCGGGGCCCCACGGGGCTGCGGGAAGCAACACCCAGCATGGCAGCGAGGCTCCCGGGACGGTCCCCGCCGCCCCACCCCGCCGGGGCCTGTGAGCGGACCGAGCTCCGGACACACCCGCGAGGCGCTCACCTTGTAGTGCGCCAGCTGCAGGGCCATCTGCACGAAGGCGTCCGGGCTCGTGCGGCACTTCTTCACCAGCCCTTTGCCGAATGCTTCGAAGGGAAAAGAGTGGAAATCCACGTCGTTGGCCAGAAGGTTCGCGCTGGCCAGGGACGTCTCTATCACCTCCTGGCACTGGGGGAAAAGAGAAAGAGGTTTTCCTCTCCGGGGGAAACGCCCGCGGAGGACGTCCAAGCTTGTTTTCAGGGCAGCTGGCAGAGCCGGTGCCTAGAGCACGGCACACGCGGCGCGTTTTCGCTTTGGTCCTTTCCACAAAGGTTATCCAGGGGCAGTGGGAGAGCAACACGGCGCCAACCCCGCCCAAGGGAGCCGTGGGGAAACAGGGCCTTCCTGGCTCCCGGTGGGACTCCAAAGGGATCCCCCGCCGCCACGGGTTCATTTTGGCAACCCCCTCGTTATGTAGTGGTGACTGAAGAACCACTTTTAAGAAATAAATGGAGCCCTGGCGGGTGTGGCTCAACGGACTAAGCGCTGACTTGCAAACCAGAGGGTCGCTGGTTCTATTCCCAGGCAGGGCACATGCCTGGGTTGCAGGCCAGGTCCCCGGTTGGGGGCGTGTGAGAAGCAACCGATCAATTGACGTATCTCATGCACACTGATGTTTCTCTCCCCTTTTCTCCTTTCCTCCCCCCATCTCTCTATAAATAAGTAAGTAAGTAAGTAAATGGGCTGTGGTCCAGCCATACAATGAACATGAGCTTTCACCACGGAAGAACATGGCGGAGCCCTGGCCGGGTAGCTCAGAGGGTTAGAGCGTTGTCCCGGCACGCCAAGGTTGCCAGTTTGATGGCTTGTCAAGGCACATACAAGAATCAACCATTAGCCCTGCCTGGTGTGGCTCAGGGAATTGAGTACCAACCAGCCTGCGAACCAAAGGGTCGCCAGTTCAATTCCCAGTCAGGGCATATGCGTGGTGTGCGGGCCAGGTCCCCAGTAGAGAGACGGACGCTCAAGGGGCAACCGCACGTTGATGTAACTGTCCCTCTTTCTCCCTTCCTTTCCCATCTCTAAAATTAAATAAATAAATCTTAAAAAAGATTATTTCAACTCCAAAGGAAGTGATTTTGTTTTCACTTTTTCACCTTTACGTGGAGCTACATCTGAGCCGCGACACTCCCTGAAAACCTTTGCTAAACGCTTCAGACAGAAGAAGGAATATCTCCTGGGGTTTCCAAGACAACGAGAGCCCATGGCCCCGCAAAGTCCCTTAGGCGGACATCAGTCTCCGTGGTCTTCAGCTGGGCCGTGAACACTCGGGAAGAACGGCTGGAAAAACGCCCAGCCCGCGGGACCCCCACCCGTGTGACGAGTCGGCCTTACCTCCTCCGGGATGTCCCACTGCAGCCGGGTGGGGTACGGGATGTTCGGGTTGGCGTCTCCTTTACAGTGTCCGTCTTCCAAGTAGCCCAGCTGGAAGCTGTCCGTGGCCATGACGTACTGTCGGGGGGGAAGCCAGGGGTCGAAAGTCAGGGACGACAGTCCAGTTGTACCCCCAAAGTAGACAAAACTTCGTTCTTCACAGAGCGACTGTTAGGACCTCAGCGCAGCCCTGGAGGGGCGTGCTCACAGCGCATGGAGCCCCGAGGCCCGGAGCGCGGCCAAGCCAGGACTTGCATGGGTGTGTGCGTTCGCCTTGCCCTTGGAGAGCCAAGAGGAGGGACCCAGAGAGGCCCAGCCACGGCGGGACGAGACTTCGGAGCCCGCCACCGCTCGCGCGAGGCCGCTCAGAGCCGCCTCGGTGCCGGCTGCGGGGGACGTGGACGGCTGGGCTGTACGGCCTCTCGCACACGTGAGAAGGCCGGGCCTCAGAGCGAGGGAGCGCGGTGGGTCCACACTGCCCCTCCTCCACGGCCAGGGCCCGAGGGCAGCCGTGAACACGCCCATTCCCAGCTTATTCCACGGGGTTTACTGGGCACCGACCAGGGCCAGCAGCTGCACCGGGCGCCCGGCACAGAGGGGTTAACAAAAGACAAGGATTTCTGTGCTTCCTCAGCCAGCGAAACACTGCCCCAGACCGAGCAAGGCCAATCCTGGGTTTACACTCAGGACAAATCAACACACGTGTTCACATAAAACCTGGACAACAAACGTTCACAGGAGCAGCGCTTACAGTGGTCAAGGTGGAGCGAACCCAAGTGCCCAGCAGATGACGACTGGACAGATACAGAGCAGTCCACCTGCACAAAGGAATACTATTCAGCCCTGGAAAGGGATGGGCAGCAGCACATGCCGCCACACGGACTAACAGCGTGAACGCCCCGTGAAACGGCCAGAATCGGCAGGTCCAGAGACGGAAAGGAGATCGACAGCTCCCGGGGCTGAGGCGCGGGCGGGTGGGAGCATCTTAGGGGGCAGATTCCCTGTGCTCAGGGAGCTTCCGTCCCAGCGAGGGAGGCAGACCACCCACCTGAGGTCAGACGGGGACACTGTCAGATGGCGAGGGGAACGGGGGCTCCAGGAGGGGGCGCGTGGGGGCCCACACGGACGTGTGGCCGAGGGCCACGCAGTTGAGCCCTGACGGAGGCTCTGCCTGCGTCCGCGCTGCCCGGCGTCGGAGCCCGGGCTCCAGCACATCTCAACGTCAGGAGCCCACCGAGTGCAAACGGGGCTCGGCCTGGACGCGATGCGTTCCTTCGGTCACACGTCGCTGCTCGGGCCCCTGATCCGGCACGGACCTCCGCAGGAGACAGGGTCCGCTCCCCGGCCCGTGGGCGACGCCGGGCTCCCGTCTGGGCCCTGGAGCCACGGGTCATTCCGTCAGCTGGGCTGGGACAGCTGAACGTCACCGCCTCTAACAGGTCACCCTGGTCTGGGGCTAAATACCTCAACCTATCCTGTCGGAAGCACCTCAGAAATAACCCTGACCTTGTCGCCCTGCGGTGAGCTCCCTGCTGTGAGGCAGGTTCTCCCTTTTTATCAGAAATAGGCACCGGTCCCTCAGAGCCCTTGGAGTGGACCGCTGTGCTCCGGAACGAGGCCTAAAGGTCCCTGGTCCTGCCCCGAGGGGCCGGCGGCTGGATGTTTGCAGGGTTTCCAGCCGAAGGGAGCTCCGAGCCTTTGTCGGCGCTGGCAGAGCCTGGCCCCAGCGAGGGACCCTTGGTGCTCAGCTGCCGTCGCAGGTACCTGTCTCAGGACACAGTGCTGTCCTGAAGACTGAGCACACTGCTGTTTCCCCTTTTTTCTCCTTTTTCCCATGCAGAAAACCTCCACTGGCTGAAGGAAAGGCAGGTTACATTTTGCTCAGAGCCCAGCCAAGGGCAAAGACAGTCGAGAGAAGTCAAGGAAGGGACGACAGGGACTCCGGGCCTAGTCTTGAGAGGGCTGGAGACAGGGACACTGAGAAGAAGTAGGGTCACCCTGAGGGGGCCGGCGGCAGGGGAAGAGTCTTCTGGGCCGAGAGCTCACCTGAGGGGGAAGCAAGACACGCTCTGCCACCTGTGTCACTCCAGGGAAAAACGGACACAGGCTTATAATAAAAAATGTCCGGAGTCAACACCTTCGCAGAAATATCAAGAGAAAAAATGAAGTAAATGCCCCAAGATGTCTACACGACTTAATTCAGGTATACAACCCGGGCACTGTGCCCTGGGAGGGACAGTGGGGGACCCAGCCTGAGGTCGCGGAGATGTGTCCCCACAGGCAGTGACTTCAGGCCCATTTTATTCCACTCTGTTCATTCGAGCAACAGCAAAATAACAAGGCTGTAAAAACACAGGCCCGGCGCTCGGTGTGCCCCTGCGAGCGGCCTGCTGCTCTGGCAAACATTCTCCTCGAATCTCATCGAACCAAAAAAAAAAAAATACAGAATTTTGGCTCAAGACCACTGTGGATGATCCCAGAGTTTAGGAACTTCTCGACACAAGAGCCTGGCAGGTGAGCGAAGGACACAGGACCTTAAGTCCATTTTCACGTGCAAAGCTAAGCAGTTCAAATAGGTCAGAGAGAAACAAGTTTTTGAAAGTGTAAAAAGGCTGCCCCGACCGGTGTGGCTCAGTCCACTGGGCATCATCCCGCAAAGCAAAACGGCCCCAGGTCAGGCGGTTCCAGGTCAGGGCACAGGCCTGGGTTGGGGGTTTGGTCCCCTGACGGGGCGTGTACAAGTAGCAACGGATCGGTGTTTCTCTCTCACATCGATGTCTCTCCCCTCTCTCTCCCCCTCCCTTCCCCTCTCTCTAAAAATAAAATAATTTTTAAAAAAAGTTTCAAAAGGTGCCAGGGCCAATCCGCGCTGCTGAGTTTAAAAAGCCGGACTCGGTGGCCTTTAACTAGTAATTTTAAGAATTATAAAACATGGTACAAGGCCTTGCTGTGTTTTTATAAACCAAGATTTTCAAATTCTTGTTTTTATCTGGCCTCAAACTTGGCAATCGGGAAACTCTCAACCATACAGCGAAGGGGTGGTCTCTTCTGCAGTGACTGGAACTCCAATCCCGCCTGCTGTCCCTGCTGTCCCGCCCCTGCTCCCAGCAGGAGGCAGCACTACGCCTGTGCCCAGGCGAGGACCTGCTGCGGGGGAAGCGAAGCCGCGCAGCCTCTGGCCAGTGCGCTGACACGCGGTACTGACATGCGCTGAAAGCACTACCATGTAATCGGACAAACACCAGGAAATGAAATCCGCCCTGGGGTCTGGTTCCCCAAGCGGCGCCCCCGCCGCCTGCCCCCCGGGCACCCACGGACCCTCACCTCCCAGAGGTGCGCCACAATGGGGGCGTCGGCCCAGGAGTGCTCGGCGTTCAGGCCCATCTTCCCGTTTTTGAAGACGATGAACGTGAAGGACTTGTCAAACCACCTGCCGGGACACAAAAATGTTTGTGGAACTTAAAACACTTACAGGGACAAAAATAAACAAAAGCTATAACTTTGTTTCATTCCAGATGGGCCTGTTGACTTTGCGCACAGCCCTCCAACAGTTCCCAGGGGTTAGGGAATAACGGAGTGAATAATGAAAACAAAGCACACACAGGACTCCAGACACAGAGATGGGCACCTGTGTCCTGGGGCCCTGAAGGACAACAGGACGTGCTGTTAGAACAAACAAGGCAGCTGCGGAGAGAAGGGAGGTCACAACACATGCCTGCACCCCACCTGCCGCGCAGGCAGGAGCCCACTTCACGGATAAGGACGGGCGGCTCCAGGAGGCGGGACGGCCCCGTGACCATCATGGACCACAGCCAACACCTGGGCCAGGCCCCGTCCGCCACCTTCTCCCGCCCGGGTCCCCGGCACCCACTCCTCCCTGGCACCCCCAAGCGGACGTGGTCGTGCAGAGGGGAAGGACCTCAGATGTGCTGCTTAGGCTGCGTGTGTGAGAGAGAGCGAGCGAGACACAGACAGACGGACAGAAAGACAGACAGTTTGGGTGAAGAGGAGGAAATTAACAGTTGTGCCCTGGCTCGTGTGGCTCAGTGGATCGAGCGCCGGCCTGCAAAGGGTCACTGGTTCAATTCCCAGTCAGGGCACAGGCCTGGGTTGTGGGTGTGTGAGAGGCAACCAGTCGATGCTTCTCTCCCTCTCTTGCTCCCTCCCTTCCTGTCTCTCTAAAAACAAATCAAGAAAATCTTAAAAAAAACCCAAAACAAAAAAACTAACAGCTGTGTTTTCGGGCCAGCCTTATCCTCGCGGGCACAGATCCCCGGGGCCGGCCAGTCAGGCACAGTGTCCCTCCCCGACTCCGAGGCAGGCTGCTGCCTCTCGCACGCGGACGGCAGTACCTGTCAAAACACCTGCCATGCAGCAGAGACTTGGCGTAGCTGTCCATCGACTTCTCGGCGTCCTCCTTCCTGTACCCCTGCTCCGTGTCGTCCAACGTCACGAAGAACGCGGCCTTTTCCACCGCATCCAGGGACTGTTTGTTCTTCCCACGCGCGAAGTAGGTTTGGCGGCACCTGGCCCAGGGGACTCTGGGGGAAGGATTGTGCACGGTTAGACCGGTAGCAGCTTGGGGACGTCGCCTTGCACGTGACGTTTGAAACAACACCGTTTCTCACAGTTATCACAGGTTTTTAGGAACCTAAGGAAAAGGACGCGTTTTAGGACCGCACTTCAGGACTGTCCTCATGACGTGGCAGCCAGGGCGTGTGAGCCCTCCCCTGTGCCGGCTCGGCCCCAAGCCGCCTGCAAGGCCTGGCTCGATGGCTGCTCTCCACGGCCGCGCCCTCCTTTCAGAAGAGGAAACCGAGGCACGGAGATGTGGTCACAGATACTTTGCGGCAGAGAGGGATTCAAACCCAGGCCAGCCGGCCCGAGTCCATGCTGCTGACAACACAGGACATGCCGTGATGAGGGCCTCCACACCCAGGGACCAAGTTCAAGGCATTCCTTTCCATCCCACCTTACGTGGGACACGCGGACCTGACACGACACATGCCTCCCTACAGCCGCCCTGGCCCCTCACTCAGGCCTCGCCAGGTCCTGTGCCCCTGCCCACCCTTCCAGGTCACGGCCAAGCGGCTGGTCTCCCACCCTCTCCCCGGGAGCTTGGCCGAGCCGCCCGTGGTGCCGAAAGCCCCGTAAACATGACGAGTCCCCACAGGAGCCAGCCCTGTGTCCTCTATGTCAGGTGACAACAGCGGTGGCAGCACGACTAGTACGCGCTCGGCTCTGTGGGCTCGGGCAGGCGACAAGCTGGCGGCCATGCCAACGTCTGGGGGAAGGGCTCGGGCAGCCGAGATGGACGATGCCCCACGCACGCAGTGCCAGGGCTGGGCGCTCACTCGCTCAATCCGAGGCGGGAACGGTGGACGGTCCCCCGCCGCTTCTGCAGCACCTGCGCCCGACGCCACCTGCATCCCATTCACAGCCCCGCTGACCCTCAGCACTCGGGGCGTGGGCTCATTCCCCGGGACACTGTCCCTTCCAGCTGAGTCCTTGCCCCAGCGACGGCCGAGCTCTCCCGGCTTCTTGGAGGAGCCTCCGCTCCCGCTCACACTGCTGAGCCTTGTCCTCCCTGTATGAGGACCCCCGTTTTCGGGAGCCTCCGAGGCCAGAATAACCTTGTCAATCTGCTCAGGTTGCTGCAGCCCAAAGTGGTCCCTTTAATGGCCCCCCGTCTCAGGATCAAGGTCAAATGCCATCGGGTCCATGGGGCCCACCCCGCCTCGAGTTCCAGCCCCCTGCCCTACCCTGCGGCTCCCAGCATGCTCCTGGGGCACCTTCCTCTTCTCCGCAGGGGGCCTCACCACCTCACTCCTAACGCCAGGTAACGATGTCAGCCCGCCGCACCTCGGGGGCTCAGACAGGGACAACACTGTCCCCTAGCGACACTAGGCAAAGTCTGAAGACAGTGCGGCTTGTCGCAACCAGGGCGTTGCCACTGGCGTTCAGGGGTTGGGGTCAGGGATGCTGGCCGTCATGCTACAACGCACAGGACAGTGACCCCCGCCCAGAACAAACCATCCTGCCCCGAGCACCTCTGAGCCGAAGCTGAGACTCCTGTCCCGTATATTGTACCATGTCCCCAGGCAAACGCAGGCCTCTGAGGGATCTCCGATCGAGGCAGGAACTAACCCTAATACACGCCTTGGCTTAAACTTGTCTTGTTGTCTGAATTAAATAGGAGGAGCCTAGCTCCTTACGCTTCTGTCCTGTGCCTTGGTGCCAGGGCACCCGCGCCTGCCTGCCCCACACAGACGGCCAAGGGGACCCGCGCACGGGGCGGGACCTGCTCCCTCGGAACAAAGCTGGACCAATGAGGGCCCCAGTCCCGTGCGCGCGCCCCAGGCCTCGGACACAGGCCCCCTGCCACCTGGGCCCCGGGACAGGGAGGGCGCCCCGAGGGGCCCCGAGCCCCAGACGCGGCCCGCATCACGGAGGAGCCGCACACCTTTCTCCCGCAGTCAGGGCCGCCAGCGTCGCCTCCCCGGCCTGCGGCTCCGACGGGTCGTCCAAAATCCTCTGCATCTGCTGCTCGATCTCCCGGGGCCTCAGCAGCCTGCCGTCATGGTAGAGCCAGACCTTGAAGTAGCGTCCCTTGTGGAACACGACGATGTGCTTGCTGTCCCGCATGTGCTGGATGGTGTCTGGGGGCGGGCGAACGAGATGCACAATCCACAGCACAGGTTAGAGGGGGGCGAGAGAGGCCCCCGGCCTTCCAGCCGCACCCTCATGCTGTGTCCCGTGCCCCGCACACCTCCCCTCGGCTCACGTGCCCACGGCTCCCGGCAGCGGGGGCTGGCACAGGGCCAGGGCCAGGGCCAAGAGCTTCGGAACCAGGCGGACCTGACTTCTGGGCACAGCCACACGTGAGATGTATCGGCCTAGACCCCTGACTTAGCCCCCCACCCCGAGCATCCGCTTTCTCATCTGTCAAACAGCCCCGGGGGCATGGCCCTCAGATGCTGCACCGGAGGAAGAGACCGTATCTTGCTCCCCGTCTTAAAGGAAAAGCTCTCAGCTGTGCGCCACTGAGGACATCAGCGGGGACTTCACTGTGTGGAGGTACGTTCTCACCGCTGTTACTCAACACAGTACGAGAAGTCCTCGCCAGAGCAGTTAGGCCAGAAAAAGGGAAAGGCACCCACATTGGAAAGGAAGAAAGAAAACTGTCCCTATTTACAGATGACGTGATATACAGAGAAACCCTAAGCAGGGGTGTCCAACCTTTTCGTGTCTCTGGGCCACCCTGGGAGAAGAAGAGTTGTCTTGGACTACACATTAAATACATTGAGACATGTAATCACAAAAAGATCTCACGATGGTTTAAGTAAATTTATGATCTCGTGTTGGGCCGCATTCACAGCCCTCCTCAGCCGCATGCGGCCCACAGGCCGCAGGTTGGACACGGCTGCCCTAAAGACCCCACCCAAGAACTGTTAGAATTACTAAACAAATTCAGCATACAGTGGCATGCAAAAATCAGTCGCATTTCTATACACTAAAAACGAACTATCAGAGAAAGAAATGAAGAAAAAAAAATCCCACCCTGGCTGGTGTGGCTCAGTGGATCGAGTGCCGGCCTGCAAACCAAAGGGTCGCCAGTTCGATTCCCCGTCAGGGCACAGGCCTGGGTTTCCTGGCCAGGTCCCCATGTGGGGGCATGTGAGAACCAACTGATCAATGTTTCTCTCACATGTTGGTGTTTCCCTCCCTTGCTCCCTCTCTTCTCCTCTAAAAATAGGTAAGACCTTTTTTAAAAAGTCCTATTTACAACTGCATCCAAAAGGAATAAACATCACCAAGGCGGGGGAAGGCCTCGCCCTGAGAAGTGTGCTGCGTGGTGACAGGGAGCGAGGCCGAGCACTCACCCGCCTCCTCTCCTGGGATCCGCGACGTGTTGAACATCCGCTCCCACTGGGCGGAGCAGAGCGGGACTGTGGATCCCAGAAGAAGGATCTGGAACAGAAATGTGTGTCAAACAAACAAAAATTCCACAGGGGAGAGAGGAGCAAATTTAACCCCTGCCCCCCCGGAACACTGGACTTGTATCCTAACTCCGTAAAAGACAGCTGTCACCGGGGGCGCCGGGCTTCCCGGGGACTCGCTGGACCACCCCAGGGCACTGCCTCCCACGCTGTCACCTCCTAAGGAACACACTCTAACCAGCCCTGTATCAACCAACACTTCAACCAAAGGGCTATTTACAAAAGAAGTGTCTCGTTCCTCTTGAGCGGTTCATCAGCTACATCGTTTTCCTTCAAAAGCGAACAAGAGCTTCTTCAAGAGGCAAATCACACAGACGTGAAGTGCATCAGACCAAAAAAAAAGTGGCCCAGAGGGACAGAGGGTAGCTCGGGGGTCCCTGGCGGGCAATGGCAGGGAGGGGCGCGGAAGGGGACGGGGCGGCCGGGCGCGCGGAGGGACGGCTGGGTGCACGTTCCTGAGCGCGGGGGCGGGTGCTGGGAGGGCACGTCCGCGCCGGGGCCGACCGCTGTGCACAAACCAATCATACCCCAACCCAGCTGGTTTGAAGAGAACGTTTTCCCAAAAAAGGGGTTCGTTTGCTCACTGGTTTGAGTTCCTCCCGGTCCAGCTTGCGCCTGTAGAGCAGGATGGCGTGGATGACGTTGCCCGCCCTCGCGGCCTGGATGTGCGTGGGTATCACGTACAGCAGGTCCTGCAACGGGATGCGGTCAGCGCGGATGGTGCACGCCACCTCTTGCTCAGCGGCAGAACAAGCTGTCATCTCACTTCCTGCACTTTGCCCATCTTATTTTGTTTTACTGATTTGTGATAAAGAGAGGGGGACACGTGGATCTGTTGTTTCACTTACTGATGCGTCCACTGGTTGCTTCCTGTGTGTGCCCTGCCCGGGATCAAACCCACGACCTTGACTTACTGGGACCGATGCTCTAACCCACTGAGCTACGGCAGCCGGGGCACAAATATTATGTTGTTCTTCTTTTGTAAGAACACAAACCCCCAAGTAATTTTTGGGCTAAAGATAACAGTATATCTTTAATTTTTAAATGAACCTAATTTGAATTGAAAAAAAGGTAACAGTACTTTGTCCCAGACATCCTCATGGAACACAGAAATAACAGAGCAATCAGACAGTTAGGAAGCTTTCGGCACAAGATGTAACCAAAGGATAAAGGAACCTATTATATCGAGCACTACTACGCCCACAGCTTCCAAAACCTGGAGACACATTTCTAAATGTCACTTCCCGCGGCTGGAAGGGAAGGCCATGGCCCACGGGTCTGGCTGGACCAAGAGAGCCTGTCCCCGCCGGCGGAGGAAGGAAGGAGCCGCTGGCCAGCAGCTCCGTCGCTGAGAGCTCCGGGCAGCAGGCCCGCGGTTGTGCCGTCAGTCTGAGAGTGTTTCTGACGGGAAAAAGGTTAAGAGGAAAAGGAGAGAAAAATTTAACAAGGAGAAAAAGCAGAGGGAAAGAACAAACAATAAAGAGAAATCAAGACAGAAAATAAAAGGAGGTACAGAGCAGAGCAGGGTCCCGGCCGGATCGCTCAGTGGGACAGAGCGTCGTCCGGATGGATACGCCAAGGTGGCGGGTTCGATCCCTGGTCAGGGCACACACGAGAAGCAACCAGTGGAACAATAAATTGATGCCTCTCTCTCTCTCAAATGAATTAAAAAAAAAGAGCCCGGGCTGGTGTAGCTCAGTGGGCTGGGTGTTGCCCTGCAAACTGAAAGGTCACCAATTCGATTCCTGGTCAGGGCATGTGCCTGGGTTGCAGGTTCGGGACACACGTGAGAGGCGACCAATCGATGTTTCTCTCTCTCTCCCCTTCTCTTCCCCCCACTCTAAAAATAAATAAATCTTTAAAAAATTTTTTTAAAAAGAAAAAAATGGAAAGAGAAAGAATTTGATTCGCCAGTTATTTGCCTGGAGGCAGGACTGAGGGGCTTCTAACAAAATAATGACATGTGCTCCCCAGGCCACCAACGTCTCCATAGACCAGACACATGAAAATGACACGTGACAAGTGACCCCCTCGTGTCTGCAGGAGGAGGGCAAGCGCAGTGTGCAAGCAGGCAGGCAGACTCTGGCCAGCTCGCTGTCTGTCCCTGAGCCCTTCACACCGCGGGGACACGGCCGTTTATGCAGCGCTGCCAGGAAAACAGGCCGGGGCACACCTCTGGCTGGGAGGGGTGCCTGCTTGCCCCAGGGGCATTTCTGTGACCCAAGTTCCCCAGCAAGAGCTCGGTGTCCTTGAGCAGCCTCGCAAACGCCGAAGGACGTCCTGCGGTTCTCTGTCCGGCATGGGAAGCGGGTCCTGGGCTCCCCGGTGGGTATGGAGCCTTGGGCAGAGGGGCAGGACCGGAGGGGCCCAGGCCGAGCCCCAGGCCACGGTGGGGCCCCTGGACATGTGGCCCGGAAGACTCACCATCGCATAGTAGTTGCTGTTCACCATCAGTGGCCCCCGGCCCCGGAGGTAGATGTACTCCTCCCACCAGTCGCTCACCTGTTGGCGCAAACACACGAGCTCAGCGAGACTGACGCGGGCCCGCGGCGGGGCGGGGCGCACTTAGTGCAAGAAAATGGGACGTGGAAAATGGGTTTTCTTAAAGTCACGACATAGCTTGAGGTAGGTCACCTTCATTTCTCAGGTGGTTTAAAAAAAAGACTCAACGGAGAAGAGCGACCGGCATCTGAAGGCCGGCATTTCTTAACGATCGATACCATCCCCAGCTGCGCCGCAGCGCCACTCCCGGCCCCCCGCTGGCTACGTCCGGGTCACAGGTAGCACCTCTCTTCCACGTCAGCTGCTCCTCAAAACCCAGACTCCCACCCGCACCCGGGTTCGCCTGCCAAATGTCCCCTCTCAAGGAACTAGTCAGTGTCCTCATACAAAGAATTCCATCGAGAAGAACCGTGTGCGTCCGCTTACGTAATTGGTAGCCCACCAGGACTTTAACTTCAGGTACCACTGCAGTTTTGGCCCGAGGTTGACAGCAAAATCTTCGGCGAGAGCTGTCATCCGCTTGAAGTCGGCTTCCTTCATAAGAGGCCTCACCGACTCCAGATACTGGGGTCAACAAGAAACACACAAGCCAGGTTGAAACACATCGTGTCCTTAGAAAAAAATTAAACACAGCGAAGAGATGCGAAAGTCTCCCCCCGCGTTGGTTTGCTACTCCTCACACCAGCCGGCTGACCCCAACGCTACAGGACGTTCTGGGTGACTAATAATTAAACAATTAGGCCCCTTCATCCTCGGTAGCCTACCCGCTCTCCCCTGACCCTGCGTCACCACGAAATCACCAAAGTGACCGCCAGCCGACCAAGGTCCCAGTTTAGTGAACAAGGAAATTTCAGGGGGGGGCCCCCTCATCGGGCCCGTGACGAGAGCTCCGTTCTCACCTTGGCTGCAATGACCGACCACGTGCGATGACACAGGAGCACTCAGTGCTCGGGACAGCAGGGTGGGAGGGAGGAGCCGGGAAACGGCAGGGGACGGGGACCAGCCTGCCACTGCCAGGCCAAGGCCGGGTCTCCAGGTCCAGGATTTTCACAACATTGTGACTGTACTTAATGCCACAGAACTGTCCCCTTTCAAATGGCTAACATGATCATTTTGACATTATACATATACTAGCCACAGTTTAATACTATTAGTAAAGGAACCCAGCAAAACCACTGACTTTGGACACTTGGTGTGAATTTGGATGGTATGTGAATATTATCTCGATAAAGCTGTTTAAAAAATTTGCCAAGTGGTTTCTCTATCAAATATGATGCCTTTTACCAAATCACCTAAGATGTACTGATACGTCAGGGAAAATGACCTCCTAGAATCGCCCTCGAGGTACCGCTGGAAGCTAACACGTCCAAGTGATGGCAGATTAACTGACAACCGTCATTAAGCCATAAACCGCAATCCCACGGATGCCTGGCATTTCCACGTGGGCGCTGCAGGGGGCTCGCGGCCACACCCACCCTGTTCACGGTGTCTTTCACGGCAGGGACAGGCAGGCGTGGTAGGGACGTCTGGAAACTGTACAACATGGGCTTTCGGCCTGAAAACACCTTGACCATACCCTGAAAAAAAAAAAGTAGATTACACAAGTTGAGACGATGCTGAAGACCTGAAACCAGCTGTCAATGGGCTCCGGCTTTCCGTTTTCTTGCTGGTTTCTCTTTCCTCCAGTCCATTTCTGCCCCTGTCCTCGCAGGCCCCAGCAAAGGAGCAGGAGCCCCAAATAACAGCCAGGCCAAGTGACAGCCCAGGTCTGACAGGCACTTTGAGGTGTCCCGCCCAGCCCCGCCCACCCCCGCCGTGGCGGTCTGACTGCCCTGCTGCTCGTGGGGCGAGTTCACCCACCCACCCCTGCGGGGCCCAGAGCCTCGAGCTGAGGCGCCCGGACCTCACGCCAAGCCCAGAGGCAGCGTGCCCCTTTGGTCATCGCCAAGCGTCGCGGACCGCACACTTGCCCGCGCTGGCCCTTGCTTTAGGCTGCAATGGTCGGAACTTGGCGTAACAACTGGTCATCTCATGCTGACCAGACCTCAGGAATTTCTAGGGTTCACGAGGTGTGTGCGTGCGTCGGGGGCGGGGGGATTCTTGGTGAAGGGCGCTGGGACCCAACTGGCCATCAGCCCTGAGTGCCCCCGAGGGCACGTCACTTGTTTTGAGACGCCTGGGAAACCGTCTCTGCCTGCGTCTGCTCTGGGTGTTCCGTTCTGCCTCTCGGGCGATCAGAGACGTAATCCAAGAGAGCGCGGAGGTCAGCTGGGGAAAGGCGGATGGGCAGGGGCGCGCAGTGGGCTCGCGCGCAGGGGTGTGCGGGGCGCCGGGCACCAAGCCTCACTTCCATGAAATAAACAATTCCGGGGGCCTACTGTGCAACCGAGGGCCTCAGACCAAAGGAGAAACGGGGACGCGAGGAAACTTATGGGGACACTCCGGGGGGATGCTACGCCTGCGTCGCTGACAGTGGCGACGGCTTCCCAGGCGTCGGCTTTGCCACACACACCACAAACTGCGCCGGTGTCGCCGGTCCTGTGCGCTTCCCTCATGCGCCTAGAAAACCGCCCGCCCGCACGCGCTCCATTACCATCCAGATCCTGGTGGCGCGGCTCAGCTTGCCGTGCTCGGCGAATATCCAGCCGTGGTAGGACAGCAGCACCTTCAGGGAGTAGCGCATGGTGAAGATCAGGGCCACCCACAGGCCTGTGCCGAACAGCACACCGCTGACCACGTTCTTCGTCTGGCTGGACATGCAGCCCCTGCCGCAGCAACGGGACAAGCAGGGAACGTGTGAGCGAGCCAAAGAGGCCGCGGGGACGGCCCCGCACGACGCCGGGCACCACACGCCGCAGCGGCCTCCCGTTGACGCTGACGCGCCGTCGGACCCAGGGTCGGGAACCGGAGTCTGCCCGACGGGAGAGGACACCGTGGAGGCTTGGGCATTTTCCTTCTCGCCTCAACAGGAACCCCCACCCCGCCTGCTTCTGGGATCCTCAAAACCAGCCAAGACTGATTTGTGTAACGAGGGAAAATGCACCACATCCTCCTGGGTCTGGGGAGGAAGACAGAGGTGACACGGGAGGCAGTGACCTGCCCCGGAGGACGACGCCCAGCCGGCCCCGCCCCGTCCCTCATCACGGTTCTCCCACGAGCCTTTGGACGCTGCTGTTGCAGGAGACTCAGGCCATTTGACAAAACTACGACCTCAGCTATTCACAGCAAGCGAGCTTGTGTTTCGGGGAGGCGGGCATGTTTACCATGCTACACGAAGAAACAGACCATATAAAATGATCTTCTAAACAATAAAGACAGTGTTTTCACGTGCTGAGGAAAGCGACCAATTTTATGGCATATCTGCGACGAGGAGAAACGCAGCCGACCACGCATCTTTGTGGTTTTGCTTTCAGTTTCAGTTGTTTTGAGAACCACAAGGTATTTACAAAATAAAAACTAAGTGTGCTTCAAGTTACTAAAACGACCAATATGCAACATGAAGGCATCTCCAGTATTTAGACACCAGCAACTGAGCGTTTCCTAGCACTTAAAGTGGCGCACAAACACCTCTTCCAGGTCCAGTGTGTTTGCTTTTTCAAAACGTGTCGTTCTAGAACCTGTCAAATTTTGAGTTCAAGTTGAACTGTGGCCTCTACTCAAAACCTATCCGTTCATTTTCCACAGCCTCGTCTACAAGCAGGCTGGGGAGCAGGGGTGCAAGGACCTGTCTCTGAGCTGATCTTCGTTTCAGACAACTGAGGGTGACATCACCGAAGGAAAAAGACATCCATACTCACTCGATGCACAAAAATCATAGGGTATTTCAGCATTAACAAATAAATGACACATTCAGGATTTTTTAAGCATAAACACAGAACATGAGCAAAAAGAGCTCCTCGTAAAGAACACGTTCCTTCTGAGGCTACGTGGAGGGGTTCACACAGGCCGCGCGGATGCCTGTGCATCCGCACCCCCCTCCCCCGGGAGACAGCCCCAGAATGGCCCCTAACCTGGCTTTTCTACATTTGGGACAGGGGTGGCCCAGTTACCACAACTGGCTTAGAGGGACAAAGGCACAAGTCTTATAAAGACCCAGCTTAAAAGGGCTTGAAATAGCCAACACTTCTAAATATAATCCAGTGTTAAGAGGCAGCCCACAGCCGAGAGGAAGTTAGAAATCTGTGTTAAACCCACGCAGCCTGAAAAGCAGGTAGGAACAGCACAGCCTTCAGGCCAAGCCGTCTGCGGGGGGTGGGCCAGTGCCCCCGGGGGACGAAAGGAGGGGGCCAGGGACCGGAGCGGTGAGCGTGAGCAAGGCGAGGGCCGCCGGGCTGCAGGCGCGCCAGGGCATCTGGCACATCGGGGGCGGGCCCACTTCTACCCCAGTAACGGGGGGGGTTTTTACCCTGGGCCTCACGGATGCTTATAAAGGCACGAGCCAGCATTCCCGGGGCAGCTTAAGACTGTGGGTGAGTGAGCTGCCGTCAAGACCCAGGGCTGCTGAAAGGATAATTCTCACATCCAAAGGCCAGCAAGGTGCTGTGTATGCAAAGGCCCCAAGCTCCTGTGTCGCTCAGGCCAGACCCCAGCGCCACAGACCCAGCCTGGGAGCTGGGGCGCACACGGGCTGTATCTCGTCCCTAAGGACTCCAGTCCCACCCGCAACTCCTGGCCCCAAAACGCAGCCCAGCTGTGGCATGAGGACGTGGGGGCTATCATCCCGCTGGGAACGGCCCGAGACGGTCAGGGGCTGCGGGAGTCTGAACACCAGTCCCCGCCTCGCTCGGGATGAGAGCAGACAGGACAGCAAGGGCCAAAGCCTCACACTGAGTCCGGGACCGAACAGTCGCTCCACTGGGAAGACACGGGTATCAGCAACCAAGGCAAAGAAAGTAACTCCCTGGGGGCTTGGATGCCGAAGGAGTCCTTACGTGGTGTCGAGGGTCCGACTGATCTTCGCGATGATCCCCAGCGAGGGGTCGATCTTGGCGTACATGGTGGACATCACGCCCACCACCACGATGAGCCAGCTGGAGGGGCTGGCCGGGTACACGCCGGTGATGATGCCATTCTGAAAGGAGATGCGCCGCGAGTGAGCAGCGTCGCCCCCGCCCCTGGCAGAGTCAGGGCGCCCCCGCATGGGGGGCTGCGAGGGGTCGGGCAGTGGGGGGAGGTGCTTGCAGCGCTGGCCCCGGCCTCGCTTCTGTGAATCTCCGACAGCGCCAGCGCCTGCCTCCCCCACAGCTGCCCGGCGCCTCCCCTCCTTCGGCTGCGGAGCCCAAACCCTCCCTTAAACAGGTTCCCTGAGGGACCCCGGACGTTAGAAGAAAGACCAGTTCAACACACAGGTTTGTGAGCTCCACCAGACTGATGAATGACACCTGGGGGGGGGGGACATCACTGAGCCACCAGGAAGTCCTCGTCCGGACCTCTACGCCTGCCAGGCCCAGACCCTCCCCCCGCCCCCCCCGCCCCCCCTCCCCCCCGGCCAAGGAGCTGCTTCACCCTGGAGTATGTACTGGGGACTGCGCTGTAAGATGCTTGTCACTCCCTCCCCCCAGCCAAAAAGAAGGGGGTTGGAGGACAATGAATCAAAATTGGCAACATGTTGACAGTGGAGGAAACTGGGAGCCAAGCCCTGTGCCTCTTACTTTTCTATCTGTTTCAAAACTTCCAAGTAAAACAAAGTCTTACTGAAGCCACTAATAAAAGAGCAATTTGACGAAGACAGTGGGTTAAAACCCTCTCGGAGCGCCCAGGCCGGGCGGCTGGCTCAGCAGGCTGGGTGGGCACCGTCCCGCAGAGGCCAAGGTCGCCTGCCCGGTTCCCGAGCGGGCGCAGGCCTGGGCTGGGGGCCGGCCCCTGCCGGGGGGCCGCCAAAAGGCAACCGGTTTCTCTCTTTCTCCCTCCCTTCCCCTCTCTCTAAAAATAAATTTATAAAACCTTTAAAATAAGTAAATAAAATAAAAAACACCCAAAGCTTTGTCTGCTTTCTTGAGAAGATACCTGTGCCCTAGGCGTTGTTTCCACTGGGTTTCCCGTTGACGGGAAGGAAGAGATTTTAAAAGGGGGACGCGAAATTAACGTCGAGGGAGGAAGGTTCTGGATAAAGTGCCCTCCCCCTGCAGCTGCTCTGACAGCCCCCGCGCACCCCCTCAGAGCGGTTACCGGGCCCTCTAAGAGGCCCGGGCTGTGGGCAGCCCCACCCTGCCTCACATCCCGTACCCTCCTATCTATCGGGCTTCCTTCCCGGCGCGAAGACAAGGCCTTCAACGCCAGGCGCGTTGCCACTGGGCTGAGATGGCGGCCACCCCTCTGCCCCTCAGCTTGCACTTCCCACTGTTTGGAGGAGCCCTCCCAAGGCTGCAGGCAACCTTCGCTTCCCCCGTAGGGGGCGCCCTGCTTCACTTGTGGTGCCCATCAGTGGACAGGCCCCCGGATTAGCCCAGGGACCCCTGTCCAGCCAGGCCCACCTCCGATGTCGCTGCTATCGCCTACTGCAGCTCCTGGGCCCTCCGCTACCCTCTGGATGGGAAAATGAGAGGAAAAATACCAACTCTGTGATCTACTCCTGGGCGGTGGGAGGCGGGGGGGCGATTCCCTTTTGATGCCCTTTGATCCTGCTTGAATTTTAAAAATAAGCTGAATTTTAAAAAAATACGTGCTTAAAATAGTGAATACCATATTTTGCGGAGTATAATGCGTCCCCGTGGATACCGTGCTCCTACATTTTTGGCCCAACTTTCAGGGAAAAAAACCTTTCATCTTAATTTTTTAAATTGAATCTTTAATTTATATATAAAACTGATCATCGTATTCCAGGGTATTACTTTGCACACAGATATCATTATTGCTTTCTAGAGTTACACTTTTAACGCATGAGCATAAATAAAAGAATTAAAAACATTTATATAGCTATGGAATTCGTACTACCTGTGCATAATGCACATCCTTACTTTCCCCTCAAAAATGTGGGCAAAAAAGTGCGCATTATACAAGGTGAAACACGGTAAATTTCCTCTCAGGTACACAGAGCTGAGAATGTGTGACGGTATACGTGAATTTATGTGCCTACGTGCCAATGTTTGAATACTGAATCAGTGAGATACCTGTTTAATAGACTCACTGCGGTTCCACGCAGCTGGAAGACAACGCTGCTCCCAGAAGGGGAGCAGGGTTCTGGGCTTGGAGCAGGAGACGAGGGTTCTCGTCCTGATTCTGCCTCTCCTGAGCAGGCCACCCGCCCTCCCTGAGCCCCGACTTCTCACCTCCCCAACAGGGCACCCCACCAGCCTTCTGGGGTTTCTTCAAGAATTCAGTGAGCCAGTACACGTGAACATGCTTCATGAGCCTAACGTACCACAGAAGTACACACCGTGTGCCAACTACCACTCTGAAAACTTCAGCACACCCAGAGGACCGTGGTACTTGGTGTTCCAGGGAAAACGGGAAAGGTTTAAACAAGTATCTGCAAACCTTGAATCTAATGAACTTCTTTTTCCAGGAATGAAGTCCGGACAGGTAGATCTGCTTCAGGGCTTCATGGCTCAGCCGCAGGTCGATCCCGTCCGGAGTGACCGTGAACTGGAAGGCCACGGCTTGGTGAGCTTCCGCCATCGTCAGCGATCTGCTGGGGAGAGGGGGAGGCAGAATGACTCGCGGGGGGACGTCTTCCTGGATGTCAGAAAGACCCCTTAGACAGAAGTGTCATTTGGTCTGAATTTTAGCTTCTCTTCCCCGTTGAACGGATTTCACGTGTTTCATGCACACACCTGCTTTTGTGGAGAGAGGTGGCCCCACCCCGCGCCCGCCCAGCACTAAACAGCCAGTCGCTGCCTGTGCTTACAGGCCCTGGGTCCCCAGAGGGGTCCGGGAGCCGCCGGTCACCTGGGGGCCACGGATGCGTGCGCCGTGGTCCTGGGCCCTTCCCTTCAGGTGGGAACGTGGACGGACCCCACGCCTTGGCCTGTGGTGTGCGAGTGGCGGGCGCCTGGAACACCCACTGCAGGCCCCTGACAGCCAGCCGGCCGGAGCCGGCCTTCCGCTTCGGAGGCCACGGCTGAACTCAGCCTCCGAGCACTCTCGCCCAGCCCGGGTGGGGCCCCAGGGACCAGCTGCCGCTGCAAAGGACAGCACGCTCCACCGGAGCGGCTTCGGGATCTACAGTACGCCCTTCGTCCCCGTCACCCCGGCTCCTGTCTGCTTCCTCCTGTCCTTCCAGGGACATGCGGCCCCGAGGAGCCGCCACCTCTTCCCGCACGGCCGCCGCCACCTCCGCCAACCTCTCTGACCCTTCTGAAGGGGAGCAGGCGCCCGTTCCATCTCCTCCCGACTGTGTGGACGCAGAGCACCGCGTGGACGAAAAGGCAGCTGAGAGGGGAAAACCTGCCGCGAACCCTCACAAAAATCTCCAGCTGCATGGCGGTGTTTTCTAGGCACACGCAGCTCTTCCCATGTTTCCCCACTGAAGCCCATCACGCGCAGAGCGGAGACTGATCCCAGAGATGCCCAGTGGCAGAGGTCAGCGAGCCCGCTCCGCTCCGCTCCGATCAGAGCGCGCGACGCCCCAGGAGGTCCTGGGGGGCGCCCAGCTTTTATTCGTTTGCTCATTCAACTAGTGCTTGGGGCCTGCCCTCTCTGTGAAGCCATGGGGGTATCGAGACACCGGCAAGAAAGTCCCCTTGTCCTCAGACAGGGAAGCAGAGAGGAGAGGGGGCGCTGGAGGGGGCCTCATGCCCAGAGGAAGGGTCAGCCTGAAGGCAGACCTGCGCAAGGACTCCCGGTGGAGGTCAAGGGCAGGGTGGCTGGGGGCAGGCCTGATGGCGAAAGGTTAAAGGCAGGCGGGTGGGGTCAAGGGCAGGCAGCTGGGCTGTGTGCTAAGGGCGACAGGAATGTCCCAAGGGCTTTGAGGCGGCTGTACCTGCTACTGTTCTGTTCTGAGACAACCCCGCTCTGGCTGCCACAGGGGGTGGGGTGGGCCGAGGGAGCAACACCCAGAAGCTGCAGGTGTTCCAGGGGAGAGGGGCCCAGAGTGGGGACAGTGGGGACAGTGGGGACAGGAGGCTGGCCCTCCCCAGGCCAGCTTCAGAGGCTCTCCAGGGCTTCAGGCCTGAGCCACCCGTGCTGGCAGGGGAGAGTCTCAGCACAGGAGAGCGGCCGGGCCCGGAGCCCCGCCACGCTGGGGTCCTCGCCCGGATCTGCCCTCGGGCCTGAGCGGCCAGCCCCCTCAGACTCTTCACCTCTTCACACCAGAAGTGACCAGGGGCAGAGGGGGAGGCTGGGCTGGGCTGGGCACACCGGCGACACCAGCACAGAGCCGGAGCAGTTCTGCTCGCAGGGTTTGGGGGGGGAACACGCAACAACAGCAGCCACAAAATGGTGTGACCTTAGCCTAGTGCAATCAGCAAGCATTCCAGAACATACACATACAATTTAGCAGGCATGGCACAAGCTGCCGGAGCCTGGCCAATTTTGAAGACACAGATCCGGGCTTTGAAAGCGGCCAGCTCTCTAAGCAAAGGTTTGCCGCAAATACTTTAGAATAGTGGAGATGGCACCCAGACACAGTGCTCTGGATGTATTTCTCGAGAAGTGCCCAAGGGGTTCTCCCAGAGCCTCCCGCTAACTCCGCCCCACCCCGCCCCTCCCCCCTCCCCCCATCAAAGCCTTCAGGGTGACCCAAGGCAGGATTCCGGGCAGTGTGCATCACGGTGAATAAAGTTACGTGATCTCTCAAGAACACAAAAGGATTATCAACGGCAGTTGATTAAACACATAGTGTTCGCAGCCAATTCTATGCGACAGCACGTGCGGACGTTTGCTCAGGAACCAAACCGCTGCCGGGCAGATGGAGAGAGGCCGAGACCCCCAAGGCCTCCTCTGGCCTTGTCAGAACGCTCTGAATTAACTAAGGATTTGCTTATTTTGATTGGTTCAGCCTAAAAATGAAACACCAGAGTCCTCAATGCCCTGGAATGGATCACTGGCTGCTCTCGGTTTGCAGGGGCCAAGACGGCTGTCCCGGGCCACTGCTCGCGCCTGGGGCTGTGAGCAGCAATCAGCGAACTGCACGTCCCCAAGGCCCGAAAACCTCGCAGAGCAAATCTAACGAGCTCTCACGCCTCCCAGTCCTGGCGCTCCAGCCCCGTGGGTGTGCGCCCACACCTATAACTGGAACGCCGCTCCCTTGGGCCACGCCACGCCTGCCAGCATGGCTGTGACCCACAAGCCGATGATGAGGGCCGGCGAGGGGCTGGAGAAACCAGAGTCGGCACCGCCGCCGGGGGCGCGCAAACAGGGAGCCCCTGTGGAAAACGGCTGGGCCGCGCCGCGCAACCTTAGCACGGAGGCACCCCATGACCCCGCAGTCCCACCCTGGGCGTGTGCCCAAGAGACCCGGAAACACGTCCACCCTAGACCGTGTGCCCCGGTGTCCACAGCGGCGTTACTCGTAAGAGCCAGAAAAGTGGGAACATCCCAACATCCTGCTGTGACGGAGGGTGAGGGACGCGTGGCCCGCCCACAGACAAGGCAGGAGGCTCTGACACAAGCCACACCGTGGGTGACCCCAGGAAGCTCTCTGCTCTGGCCCAAAAGCCACACATGAAGGTCACGCCGCGTGTGGTTCCGTTTCTCTGAAACGTCCAGAACAGGCAAATCCACGGGGACAGAGGCAGAGTAGCGGTCCCCTAGGACTGGCGGGGATCGTCACTGGGAAGGGGCGGCTTCTTTGTGGGGTGACAACACTGTCTTCTAAAACTGACCGTGGCGATGGCCGCACATCCCTGTGACTGTACTAAACCCACTGCCGCGGCTACTCTAGCTGGGGGCTTATGTGGACAAGAATTATACTGCGATAGAGCCGTTCTAAAAAGACACTCACCACCTCATAACACCTAAGTGCTGTGTCCTCAACGCTTACGCACTAAAGGCTCCCTCCCCGAATACAGAATCCAGGTGGGCGGGCGGGTAGGCGGCCCGTCAGCCAATGGGCCGCTGTCGCTCCTCCCAGTCCCTGTCCTCGCTGCACTCACACCAAGGACACGCCTCCAAACAACTGTCACATCGAGGTGTGAAGGGCGGCGGTGGAATGGTTTCAGGTGTCATTTAACATTGTGGTTATTGGCAAGTTGTGGCTGCTATCTCTTAGCAATACACACTGGAATATTTACCAATGTGATTTTATGTTTTATCATGCCTGGGACTTGCTGCAGAACCTGGGGGAGGGGGACGGAGGGACAGAGGGACGGAGGGAGGGAGGGACAGAGGCGAAAACTGGTCACGGTGAGAACGGGCGGCTGGACGGGGGTCCGTCATGCCAGTCTCTCCCCTGCTGTGCGTTTCCGATCTTCTCCAATTTCTTAAAATACGTTCAGTGAAATCAAACACGTGTCCACAGCAGCCGGTGCCACCCCAGCTTCACACCTGGAGGGCGCATTTCAAAGCCCCGGACCCTCGGAGCGCTCCCGGGCCCACCTTCCAGGGGGCACCCAGGCCTCGCCTGCCGGCCATGTGGCTTCGCGGGGCTGCGGCATCCGAGATGTGGGAACACCTGCTGCTGGGCCCGCCCAGCCGACTACACCTGGTTCAACAGTGAAAGGAGAAGCGCACGGCGGCCGGCCAGGTGTGCTGCGCCCCCACCCCACCGTGCCGTGCGGGGGCTGCCACCGCTGCGCAGCTGCAGGGCGCGCACCCGGCTCCCGCCCGGACGTGGGTGCAGCCTCCCGCCCCTCGGCCTGCAGCAGCACCCGGAGCACCTGATGACAGCCGCCATCACGTCCCCAAGGCTGGCTGCAGCCCGGGGTCACTGGGCCAGAGGGCCCCAATGTCCCTAAAGCTAGGGACCTTCTCTTTAAATGGAAACACACAGCAAGGGTCAGCAGGTTAAGCCATCCACCCCACTCCTGCCTCCCTTGGACCCTAAAGAATGAAGGGCTCCCAGACCCGTCTGAAAACCCCCCGGCCAGAAGCAGAATGTGCCCGGCTTTGACTGATGCCCCCTGGCCAGCTGAAAGCCATCCTGTCCCTGTGGACGGGACACCTGCAGAGACAAACCCGTGAGGCGGCACGCGGAGCTGAGCAGGACAGGCTACTGGCACGGCCTCCCCACAGCGGGCAAATCCACCTGCCTGTGCCTGCTTCGCGTCCGCAGGGACTCAAAGCCTCTGGTCTGTTTGCTGTCATCCCTAGGAAGGTTTCAGCCTCCTGCTCAGCAGCTACCTCTGGATTCGCTGAAGCAACTTTCGACAGCAAATGATGAAATGGCAGAAGTTCTTCTTTCTAAGCGCTAGGTGTTAGTGCCTAGAGGTTTACCGGGGCAGGGGTGGCCACGGCAGCCTCTCTGCACAGAAGTTCTGAGACGCCGCGAAGCACACTGAAGACAGCGTGCTTTCCTATACCATGTTCCGGCTTTTTGACCAGCGAAACGGGCATTTGCGAGGGAACCTTAATTTCACACCAGGAGAACACTGTGAAGAACATGAGGCTTTCTTCAAGCAGGCTTTGGAGTGGGGGGTGGCTCCTGCTCCAGGTGGGAGAGGGGAGCAGCTGATAAACGTGCGGACAATCAGGGGTGATGAGGACCTTTATTATCCAGCAGGGCTGTCTGCTGTCCTTGCGTTTTATGTCGCG